CGTCGATCCCGAGCTCGGTTAGGACTTGGATCGGTCAAAACACCAACGCCAATGACCAAAGCAAGAAGAAGTCCGCGTCGTTTTCCACCAAGAGGGATTCCAAATCTGTCTTGGTCAGTTGGAAGAGTCGACTAACTCTGCAAATGGCGAAAGCTATTGAAGATGTCGGGGAATGCACCCGACTGATGAAAGCCACAGGGTACAAAATCATCGGCAATGATCCGCTGATGCTGTCCAATTCAGATACCTTAGTTGGGTCCTTGCCTCCACCCAAATTCAATGTCACAGCATTCAGCTTCAAATGATATTAAAAATATTTTGTAAATGCTGGGCACGTTGAGCAATTTCGTGGAACAATTATCTACTGATAATAATATTGCATATCTGGCAATATGGGATACGGACCATTATCAACCGTGCTTGGTAGTTTTTACTTTTGAATGTGGTTAATCTAATGTTATTAATGCTAAAATCTTTTTTTAATTCTGAACTTGTCTTTAGATCAAGTGTAACCATAATTACGTTTCTGATTGGAGTGTTATATATTATTTTTGTTTTTATTTTTAACAATTAATTATTGTCTTTTGTTCAAGTCTATTACAATATTTTGAGACTATCATGAATCTATTAACCATGCATTCGGACAACCATTTAAATCATTCAGAAAGAAGAGTATAATTGTGACTGTATTTTGTCATCGACATGTTATATATATTGTTCCTGTGCAGCTTAGAATGATACATTTCTAAATTTTTGAAGATCTGCTTGTATATTGTGAATCAAACATGTCAAATGTGTTCTAACGATCATTTTGACACATTAAGGGTAAAAGCAAGGCATCTATTCGGGTACAAAACTCATCACTAAACCCGGCACCCAACCCGGCACCCAACCCGGTACCTTACCCGTCAACCCCCCCCCCCTCTCCCAGGGTACTGCTAGGCATTTTCTGGAACCCCTTTCGCGGGCTTTTCCTGCCATGGAGACCCCCTAAATCCGGAACACTGCTAAATGTACCCCCTGTCTATGATATTCAAGATATTTTATAACCCGGCCCTTTAAAAAATTCTCAGGAGTCCTAAGAGAGAGAGAGAGAGAGAAGAAAAAAAAAATCCCCTTTCAATATTTTATAACCCCCTTTGGAAATTTCTCAGGAATCCAAGGAGAGAGAGAGAGAAGAAAAAAAAACCCCACTTTTTAAAGAAATCTCCCGGTGAAAAGTCCCTCATCCTCTTTAAAATACAATACAATTCTCGGGCCGGACTTTGTCGCGTGAAATAGAGGGGGGGGGGGGGGGGGGGGTAAGGTGACCTTTTTTAGGTCAGCCATGGGAATAATTTTTTTTTTATTTATTTTTTTAATTATTATTCAAAAAAAAAAAAAATAAATAAATAAACCAAGGGGGGGGGGGGGGGTTTATACACATAAAAATACCAAAGGGGGGGGGGGGTTAACCCCCAAACACCCCCCCCCCCCCTGCGTACGCGCCTGTCTCTTTGTAAGACAGGGCTCTGATTGGGAATGGAGTTTGATATCGGATCGGGTGTTCAGAAATGACAGAAGGACTGCGAGCTCGCTCGGCACAACTCGGTCTAGCTCGAGCTCGACATACTTAAATGCAATGTCGTATTCTTACCGATTCAATCATTCTTTTCTTGAACACAAAACAAAACTTGCAGAGACGAGCTTTTACAGAAGCATTCAAAGCTTCAGAGCAAGGGATGGATCAACAATCAAGCCGGCAAAGTAATGTGACTCGCTTTCAATAATAAGTTATTTGGCTTTTGTATATTCAAAAAACCAAATTGAATTTACAATTTATTTTCTTAATATCTTAATTCATATTGGTTTTTTATTGGAGCTTTATATCGTTTCTTGCGTACACTTTCTAAGGAAAGATATATTACGGATTTACGAGTGTACCAACGACAATTACTATTGTCGTTATTATGATGAATATTATGATTACTGTAGTTGAATTTCGCTTTCCTACTTTTCACTAAAAGAAATTCGGATTCTAATAACTCATGTTTTATAGAACTGGTCTCCACAAGAACGATTACATATTATTGTTTACGAATGCCAATACTTACTTTATCCACAGTTTTTGAGTTATTACTATCATGATTATTCAACGATTGGGAGAAAAATGCATAGATCGAAGCGAGAGGAGGAGGGGAGAGGAGAGAGAGAGAGAGAGAGAGAGAGAGAAGGAGAGAGAAGGGGGAAGAAAGAGAGAGAGAGAGAGAGATAGAGAGAGAGATTTTGGTTATAATTATGAGAAAAGGATACATGTATGCAAATTATTGAGTACCAGAGGGGGGGGGGGGGGCACGTGGTCTTTAATTGTACCATGTCTCCATGCAAGCGGTGAGTGAAAACATAAATGTCAATTAACCCACACGCTTTTGATATTTACTATGGCCATAATCAAATGGATCATTATACTTAGGCCTACCTCTCATGTTAAGGCTGTACATGGTGTCACAAATACCTGAAATATTGGTGATGGAAAACCGGGGGGGGGGGGGTACTAACATATTAGGACATACGAAGGTGTGCCACTCTAATGGGTCACTTTTTCGCAAAAAAATCCCTAAACATGGGTCCCACTTTTTACAAAAATACCATTAAAAATGGGTTTCTTTTTCGAGACAAATGACCCCAAATGACCCCTAACTTAATTGGTAGGGGTTTCGAGGCTTGAGCGGCACACCCCCGCCCAAACCAAATCTGTGTACCCCCTCCCCCCCCCCCCCGATAGAAAGAGGGGGTGTCAAACGCCCCATGTGCCCCTGTAAGCCCCACGCCACGGGATACGGGTCAGCGAAATTGGCTATTTAATGTGATATGCGGGCTGTTAATATCTTGGATTTCTTTCGTTATAAGTTGTTACATTTTGATGACAATCAAGATTGTTGGGCTTATAATTAGCCTGACTTCATGCAACGCCTTCAGGGGTTTCTTTTTTTTTTTCGAAGCAAAAACTTAGCTATAATATCCACACGAATTATGAAATGAAATGTAAATTGGAAAGAAATGAAAATCTTCAAATCATTTTTTCTTTCTTGTTCAATACAATTTGGATCACTTTAAAGAAGAATAAACCATTTATTACGCCCCGGAACTTCGAAATATCGTCGTCAAGTACAAGTTCACGACATCCCCGCCAGCGAATTTTTTTTCCGTACTCGAGAGAGCAAAAATCCCATGTGCGCATGCGCGTGGACTTATGATTTCTCTGCTACTTCCCATACGAAATGTACATGTATTCGCATGTACTGTGCACGATTCGCGTTCTACGAGTAAACGATGGCATAGTAGTCTTCAAACACAGACTCTGATTTGCCAGTTTGACAAATCAATATGCGTATGTGTCGCGATGTGCTTATTCAAGTCTGTGTAGTTGTATGATTCAGACCCAGTAGTGCATATGGAAATACATTGCAACTTGTATAGAATGGTATAGTAGTCTGCAAGCACAGACGCTAATCTGACAGTTTGACAACATACTAGTAGTGTGCTGAGAAGTACTTTATTCAAGTCGCCAACTTGTATAGAATGGTATAGTAGTCTGCAAGCACAGACGCTAATCTGACAGTTTGACAACATACTAGTAGTGTGCTGAGAAGTACTTTATTCAAGTCTGCGTAGATGTATGATTCAGACCCTACTGGTGCGTGCGTTAGAAATGCATCTCAATGTGTAGAGTGTAGTATAGTAGTCTGCAAGGACATAATAATATATTGTGTATTGATGAGTAGTGATTTTATGCAAGTTTGTGTAGTTTAATGATTCCAGACCCAGGCCTACTATCGTTTGTTCAGAGCCAGAAGGGCATTCGTTGTGTTAAGAGTTAACATCCTTCTGGCTCTCAGCAGACCATGATTATAAATAAAAGTAATACAGAGAGTGCGAGCATACTGGAGGGAGAGCTAGAGAGAGAGAAAGAGAGAGAGATAGAGAGAGAGAGAGAGAGAGAGAGTGAGAGAGCAGTGGCACAACACAGAAAACTACGAAAACTTGAATAAAAGCACTACTCAATACACAATAGGCCTATATTATTCTGTCAAACTGTCAAAGGAGAGTTTGTGCTTGCATACTACTATGCCACTCTATAAGTTGAGGTGCATTTCCAATACACGCACCAGTAGGGTCTGAATCATAAAACTACTCAGACTTGAATAACACTATTTTGTCAAACTGTCAGATTAGCGTCTGTGCTTGCAGACTACTATGCCACTCTGCAAGTTGAGATGCCTTTCCAATACACGCACCAGTAGGGTCTGAATCATAAAACTACACATATTTGAATATAAAGCACTACTCAAGACACTATGTTGTCAAACTGTCCGATTAGCGTCTGTGCTTGCAGACTACTATACCATGCTATTCAATTTGGGATGCATTTCTGTAAGCACTAAAATGTCTGAATCATACAACTACTCAGACTTGAATACTAGTACTATTGCTACGCACGATATATGCGTAATTGTTTTGTCAAACTGGCAAATCAGAGTCTGTGTTTGAAGACTACTATGCCATCGTTTACTCGTAGAACGCGAATCGTGCACAGTACATACGAATACACATTTCGTATGGGAAGTAGCAGAGAAATCACAAGTCCACGCGCATGCGCACATGGGGTATTTGCCCTCTCGAGTACGGAAAAAAAATTCGCTCCCCGCCATTGTTAAACTTAATACACGCATTTCAATGGGATGTCGGTGAACTTGTACTTATGACGGTTTCCTGAGACGACAGATAAATGTTAGTCTCTTTTCAGTAAATATGTGAATATTATGTGGCCGAATATATTTTTAAATAAAATAAAAGGAATGTTTAAAAAACTAAATAAAAATAACATAAAAATTAATGTCATATGAATATTTAAAAAATAAAAAATTGTATTATTTATTTCGAAACGAGCACGAATCCTACCACCCATTTGTTATACAATAATCAACTTTGCCTTAATAAAGACTAGGTAGTTAATAACATTGTACACGTGTACGAAAATCAAAAGTAAGAGTTCTGACCGGGAGTTCTGACAACTCAGCTAGTTTTCAAGAGGAAGTTCACCATCCCTTAGTAGCTGAAGTTAGATTGGTAAGCTTAGTGTTCTTTTATTCTACTAATGTAGTGAGTATATGAGTGCATTTTAAAGTATATTGTGAAGGGAAATTATCGTGAATTATTTATTTGATCAGCTGAATTCTGGTCAAAATCAAGGGTGCATTGCATTCCCATTAGTGACGTGCCTCGCTCCCCTGGCTCTGGCGGGATCGAGGCTCTAGCTCTGATGGTCGCGTTTCTTGTCCCTCGAATCCTTGTAACGTCGTTAAACTTTGAAGTTGTATGAGTGCGAAGTTGTATGACTGATGTGAGGCTAATTATTACCTCTTTGTTTGGCAAAACAGGAACAGTAAAATCTATAATAGACTTTAATATTCATTCATGCCACGAAATGACGGATCAACTCACTCTGTCTGATGATCATCTGACAGACTTCTTATGTGTTACTGTACATCTGTACAGTTTTTTTAATTTCCAAGTCCATATACAATGTCCTCTCTGTGCACAATCAATTTTAGTCCATACTATTTGTTTTAATTGTCTGGGAAATTCTACCACCTTGAAGGCTTGATTGACAATTTTGCAACTTCAAAGTACAATATATTTTTCTTTCTTTTCAGTTTTAAATTCAAGTTCACAAGATAAATCTTCAAGATGCTGAAGATTGTAGGATCCATCCTCCTGCTGAGCCTCGTCGGTCTTTTGACCGTCAGGTGCTCGGACCTCTACACTGCCATGTCGGACCTGGAGGGCATCTTTAAGACGGAGGGAAGGATGATCAAGGCCGTTGAGGAGTACCTTCGACAGGAGAGAGACAGACTTGAAAAGATTGAGACGTAAGATGACACCCAAAATGGGAAAGGAGGGGGGGGGGGGGGGTGGTTCTGGAGGTAGAATGCCAATTTCAACTTGTGATGTTAATGAGAGGGTTTTGCTCGTGCCACATGGGGCTTTTTTCCTGATAGCACTGATGTCCAAAATAGTCAATATTCATCCACTGATTAGGATAATAGTTGTTTATCCTTGAGCCCCGATGAGATAATCCCTGAAGCAGCTTTTCCAAGCTAAACTGGGATGGGATGTGTTGTGTCAGCAGGTTATGGTGCAGATATGAAACAATATTATGAAGCAATTCGATCAATTATCATTGAAATTGTAATTTAGAAAGGCAATAATTTGTTTCCATCCCCCCCCCCCCCCTGAAAAAAAAGGAGGGGGGTGGGGAGAATGTGTGAGGTTTGAAGCATGTTTGCATTACATTCTTGTTGTAAAGTTTGTGCATAATAGAATAACTCGAGCTAAAGCCAAGCTAACAATACCACCAAAGTGCAGAGAGATGCTTTGGCTTTTCTGGATCTGAATATTGTGGTGACAAAAATGCAAGTATGTCTTCTCAGGTCATTTTGACACTCTCCAGTATAGTAAATGGGTACCTGGTGGTAGGAAGACATACCCTGAATGCTTGAGTGCCTGATCATGGTATAGCTTGGCTAAAGCCGGGTAATGATGTGATTGCAGAGCCCTCAGGGATTGATATTGATGAGACTACCCTGAAGTAACAAAACCTTAATTTTTATTCAGTGCTTAAGTTATGAATTGATGCCCTTATGCAATGTGTAAACATTCATCTTTGCTCATGGGAGCTCTTTTAGAATGACTTCCCTCACATTGTTTCATTATTTGGCATAAAATCAATCTTCTTTAAAAACTCTCTTTGCAGCAAATTGGCAAACCTGAGGCGTCTGAACCAGGAGGGGCAAGAAGACGTGGATGCTTATCTGAGCCACCCTTTCAATGCGTTCCTGCTCACCAAGAGGTTTTTGTGGGAGTGGGTCGACCTTGAAAACTGGATCAAGATCAGTATGCCTTCGAGAGGTCAGTAGTGTCCATCACTTTTCAAATTGGCAACACCAATAATAAACTAAATTTGATAATTTTAATAATTAACTTGAACTTGAACTTGAATGTCACCAATATAATTTACCTACCCTTTTTTTCATTACAGCCTCATTCCGTGAAAAGGAATTGTAAAGTAAATACGCTGTGTAGCCTAGCAGTTTAAATGTTTTTGATTTAGGAGAATGGATAATAAATTGGCAGAAAGACAAAAGAAAAGTATATATTTTTGCAAATTGTGAGATTTCAATTATGAAGACGAATTGTTCTTCATTTGATCATCTATCCTGAGTTCTGACTTGTCAGTTGTCTGACAACAGTCCATTGTGGCTAGGTACTCTAGGCAACAAATGCAACCATGCTCTAACATATTTTCTGGCAGCAAGTGCTCTGTTTGGGGCTATAGTTTGTTAATGTAAAGATAAAGGTTTTAGGTTGGTCTCGGGTGTTATGGTAGGTTTAGGGTTGGGGGTTAGGTAAAGTGTTTGGTACAATATTGAAATTAAAGAGATTATCATTGGGTATCTTTGTCTCAGATTCTGAAAAAAAATCCTGGATGTAGATCATGCTGCAATCATAATTATAAACCTTTAGGTCAGTCAGGAACCCCACGACTTTTACAAGCCGATCGCCTGTCAGATTATCAAGATATTTATGATTGGACATCGAAATTTCAAAAATCGTTTTTATAACACTACAGTCTATTGGGGAAAATGAGTATGGTAAAACTGGTCACTCAAAGATTTTTTACTTTTTTGAGGATCTTCCTCATCATTTTGAAGCACAATTTTTTTAGGGCTTCAATATTTTATCATATCACAGACACTGATAACACGAAGAGCCATCTCATATTCTCATATTCAACATTGTTAAACAATTTCATTTCGTGGAGGATGTTGACCTCGGAGCAAGTGTCAACGAAGCATGTGTCGTACAAACCCTGCATACAGAAAACTGAGCAATGTGTATTGTGTATCGCTGTTTTTATACTGATGCGCAGAATACATCTTCAATACCACTGGTCTACGGAGTAAAGGACCTCAACAAAGCGATTTAGACGGAGCTGCGGAGGCTCTGTGGCGTCTGCAGGACACCTATAAATTTACACCTGCTGAGTTGGTGGAGGGAGCCAAGACGGAGGATGCTCTCAAAGGTATTAAAAACATTTTGCATTAGGGGAGTGTTTCACAAAGACTAAGATCGACTTTAGGTTGGACTTAACTATGGCAGGCTGTCATCCCACCAGTTCCTCTAACTTGGATTCCTGGCATTGGTTTTTCAAGGGACTTACAAATTGTGGCCACAAATCAGAATTTACATATTTTGATGGTTCATCATTGAATGAAAAATTATCTAAAGATCATAATTGAGAGACCAATGGTGAGAGCAACCAGTGGCACGTAGTTAAATCCAACCTAAAGTTGCTCTTTGTCTTTGTAAACCACTCCCCTGGATAAAAAGGTGTACCAATCACCTAAAGATGTTTACAGCTAGAATTATTTGAAAATCGACCTCAAAATCTTAACCCAGCATTCTAAGGGTTAATAATAATGATAATAATAATAATAATAATAATAATAATAACAATAATAATAATAGCCTAATAGTCCTCTCCAAATTTTATTAATTTTATTAATGGCTAAGAAGTATGAAGAAAATAAAGAACAAGATAAAACAGTGCGTACGCAACCCAAGTCGGATTTCGGTTCTCTGCCTGCCCTTTTCTACCGAGAGCACATATGGGTGTTATCAACTAGTCTACATATGGGTGTTTCAACTAGTCTACTCACTAGTAGATGCTATACAAGTGTGACTATTATTAATACACCTTAATTCGTTTTCTTTCAGCTCATCATTGCTTTGAAGTAGGCCGCCTTGCCTATCATGTCGCCAACGATAAATACCATGCCATTCCCTGGATGGAGGAAGCCCATAGACTGCTCAACAATGAGACGATGGAAGGAGACTTCTTCACGATGAACGAGACAGAGATCTTGGACCATCTCGCTTTCGCAAGCTTCTCTGTAAGTTCTTGATCAAATCAAATGTTTCATCTTACGTTGTCTGTAGTAACTGTATGTGTGGAAGCATGTCTCTCTGTATTTGTTTGTGTATTTATGTAGGGGTGTATGTATGGATAGATCTCGCTTTCGCAAGCCTCTTTGTAAGTTCTTGATTAAATCAAACATTTGATCTGAAGTTGTTTGTAGTAACTGTATGAATGGATTCATGTCTCTATGAGGCTGTTCACACCGGCAGAGATAGCACGCGCTAGACCGCGCTATCTCTACGGTTTGGAAGGTACAACGTCGTTTCGGTCCGCCCAACAGCGAGCCACGGCGAGCCAAAACGGCGTGCCACTGGAGCACCTCTTGGGGGTGGTCCACGAGAGATAGCGCGGTCTGGCGCGCGCTAGAAAAAAGGGGGTGCTACGATAGACCGCGCTATCTCATTGCGGTGTGAACAGCCTCTTAGAATGTGTTTTTGTTTGTATGTAGTTATGTAGTACTTACATGCATAACTTTGTGTGTACTGGTATGTACATGATTTTATGTCTAAATTGCTTTTTACAGATGATGTTAATCTATTAAATCAGATTTTTTCATGTAGGGACCAACCCTATTGTTATTATTCACGAGACCCATACGTCTATTAAATCTTGTTGTAAATGCAGACCATAGACCCCCTCCCCCCATCTGAAAAAAATTAGTAAAATAAAAATAAATAAATATTATTGACCCCAATTTTAGAGATACGCAATTGCATTTAAGTTCTAATCCAATTGTGCAATTGACAATATAAAATGAAAGTTATTAGATAAAGGAAGGACTGAGTCGGTAGGAATGTGACCTTCGTATAACCCACATTTATTTTTCTTTCAGGAGGAGAGGTTAGATGATGCTATTGCATTCACAAATAAGCTGATTGCACTAGGTAAGCCATATCTGAATTTCTTCATTCCCCCATAGAATTGTATTGCCTGAGTGACTGTTGTATTCAAGACAAATATTGTACTCTCATTGTAAGGTCCTTGGTTTCATTAGCCAATCACTTCTCTAGTTATTAAGATAAAATATCACCAACCGTTACCTGCAATGGTCATTATCTTTCTGGGTCACACATATAGTATCCTAGACAAGTCAGTGCAATATGTGTACTGCATTGCCCATTGCACCTTGTGTGTACTGTGTGTGCAACGTGCAGCTTTGATCATTATCGATATGTCCATTCTCTGGCAGCGACATGAAGTGTTGATTCAGTTATACTTGGGTTTCAAATGTCACAACCACTGTTGAAAGTGGAAGGGTTTTTAGTCTCTGTTACACACTAAATATCTGTATCTATCCTTTAAACATTTTAATTCTACTTTTCATAGAATTATAGAAAAGCTGTACCTTGTGTGCATGATGGGACTACTCTGGCTGATTTTGTCTTTCAGGTTACTATGTTTTCAAATACCTTCAAGATAAGTTTGGAAGGTTTTTTTTGTGTGTATCATTCCTCTGTGACTCAAGAGGCAAATTGTTGCTCACTTTTGTTTTTCATTATTTTCTTTCAAAAAAACAATGTGCTCTCTTTCGATTATCTTTAGTCCCTGACTCTATACGTTACACTGACAATAAAGCCTACTACCAGTACCTACTCGACAAGAAATACAGACCGCGGGGAGAAACGGGAGACCTTAAAAAATTGTCTTTAGATGACGTTGAGGAGGAGGAGGAGGAGGAGGAGATAGCAGAAGAGGATATGGATGAGGACGATCTAAGGAAAGTTCACCCCGATATTCGTCAGTATAGAGCTCTGTGTAGAGGAGACGAAGGAGTTGTCAAGGTATTTCCTTCTTAGGCAACTACCCTTCTTGGGGGTGTTTCACAAAGATCTAAGTCAAACTTTTCTCTAAGTTGGACTTAAAAATTATGGAAAGATGTTAGCATCATTGAAAATATTTTGTAAAATTTATTTCAAAAGGCATAAAATGTTGATTTAAATTATTCATATTTTCTATTATCAAGGATATTTCATGTTTTTGATGTGGAATTAATGGAAAGTCTAAAATACTTGAAATTTCGCTTTTGAATATATTTAATTTTAAGGCTACAAATGGCTCTCCATAATATTTAATTCCAACTTAAAATTAAGTTCATCCTAGGATCTTTGTGAAACACCCCCAGATCATTTACCCCTCAAAGTACTTGTATTCTCCAAGTAGAGGGATTGGGGTCATGTATACTTTTAGTTAGAAAGTTGATTTTAGATTATGAACAGCAAGCTGCTATCAATACTAAGCTACTGTGAAGTTTTTTTTCTCCTCACAATAAATAGTAAAAAAAGAAGAGGTAAAAATGATTTAGATACCCATGCCGAGATGTTAATTCCAACAACAACCTGCACTACACATGTTTAAATCCTATTAGAACTGTTGGTATGTACATTAAGGTCTACATAAACACTATCTCCAGACAAAGCGCTGAGATTGTTGTACAGGGAGCCATTGGGGTGAAAGGGCCGTAGCGTAGGGGAGTGTAAGGCAATCAGCTCACATTCCTTGTAGATATTTACATTAAAATTCACTGGCTATTCTTGATAGAATGTCAACAAAGTGTTTAACATTGATTAATTTTAAACATGCATGTAGGAATCTCAAATTGGCATCTTTGGCCACATGACTGATTAGTTTATTTGACCTATAATCGAAATTTCATCATATTGATTAATCTCTTTGTAAAATAAAAATCCTTTGTAGTCCATGCCAAAGCCGGCTCTCCGGACATGTAGCTACCAGCATTACGACCAGCCCCAGCTGATACTGCAACCGGCGAAAGAAGAGATAGCGTTCGTCAAACCGAGAATCGTCGTCTATCACGACATCCTCAGCAACGAGGAGATCGCGGCCCTCAAGGACATTGCCAAACCTAGGGTAGGGTGTCTCGTGACCTCTGCACTTTGATCCCAAATGTGGGAGGGGCCCAGTTTGTACCATGTGCACAAGGGTGCTGTGAATAGTTGAACTATCTGAGATGGTATTCTGAAAATAATATTGAGTCTCATGTTAATGCCAAGTCAGTTAATTGTCACATTAAACTTAGATTGCGCTGGCTGCATACATTTTCTTTTACAAATTTGCTCAGATGTTCTTGTGAACTATGGAACCTACATAGCCCACATTGCACAACTGTAGGGCAATTTTGTTTCTGTATTCTGTGTGGAATAAGTCTTTGGTCAATCTATTTTAACCGAATATTGTAAATCTTCTGGTGTGACCGTTGACTATTGGTTCTTTGTGGTACATGTATCACTTCTATAGGTCAGTGGTCGTATTAAGAGGGTTTTTTGTGGATGAAGTCATTGGATAACAGACTTCTGTTACATTTTGGAAATCATACATTTCATAGCATTGCTCATTAGCTCATTGCAACGTAAAGTTTGTTCTGACAATTATGCCTTTTTCTGACTTGAAACTTTTGGCATGAAATTTCAATTTTGTTTCAGAATAGTCCTAGCATTTATTGTGTTTGACTATTTACTGTACCCCTAGCCGAATCCAGACATTGAAGATTTCTCTCTTGAAAATTCGAAGAGGGATTTTGTGAACAAGTCTGGATTTTGATAAGATATCATTTGCTGAGAACAAGAAGGGCGTTATCAATCTATCACTCAATGTTGAGAGAAAGGAATTGTGCCCTTCTAGTTCTAAGCAGATGGTATGTCCATGGTATATAACTGGGGACAGTGGTACTAAGTCTAGATGGTCAGAAGTTGCGTATGGTCATCTCTTGATGTACTTATCAGTAGAACAGTGGTATTCAGTTAGCAGCAGACTTTGGGTCCACGGGTCATGAGTTTAAATCCGAAAAAGAACATTTTGCAAAAGTAGTTATCTTGCAATTCTCTTTGTAAAAGTATAACAATTAATAGAAAGAGAAATAGAAAATCAAAGAGAACTTAAATATATCAGTCTGGGAATTAGTTTGCTTATAACTCTATCAAGGAAAACATATCTTTACAGCTGTCAACAATTATGGGTAGACTACTATAGACTGTATTTTATCATCTTAAGAGTAATCTTAAAATGAAAGGCTGTTCAAAGGCTGTTAAAATAGTAAATAAGTATTTTTGCCCATTGATTCAGAAAAACAAAAACAGAAATAAAGTGAAATATAAGCAAATGATAATAAGGGGCAGAGCGATTCTGTTTGATAAATAACCCACAGAATTTCCTTATAAACAGAATTTACTAGTGAATTTGTTAAGCCATAGTCCACTACTGACCATCAGGACTTACCATCCCTTCAACACAGTGGTCAATAATCTTAGCCTGATGTTTGAGTCCCAAATGTGGGTCTCGTTCAAGAAAACCATTAAGCTGCAACTAATAGCATGTAAATCCAACCCTGGCCTGTGCATGATGCATGCTTTTGAACAATGAGCAGGGGGTGTTTCACAAAGATATTAAGTAAAACTTAACTCTAAGTTGGACTTAAATATTATGGAGAGCCATTTGTAGCCTTAAAATAAAGTATATTCAAAAGTGAAAATTGAAGTATTTTAGACTTTTTATAAATTCCACATCAAGAACATGAAATCTCCTTAATAATAGAAAATGTGAATGGTTTGAATCATCATTTTATGCCTTTAAAAATAACTTTTACAAAATATTTTCATAGATGCTAACGGCTTTCCATAATTTTAAAGTCCAACTAAGAGATAAGTTCAACTTAGGATCTTTGTGAAACACCCCCCTGGAGACTTCATTGTCTTGCTTCATACAGATGGAATGAGTCATTTTCTTTCCCTCATTGCAAATTAGTGGAATTGAGTCTGTTTCATATAGACTATTCCCCTTCTTTCACACTGTACCTCACTCAGATCGTGAGGCAGGTAATGGGTTAGTCTACCTGTAACAGACCCAAATTATTTAGAGGGGGTGAAATCATTCTGTTAAGAACCAGGCTAGCATTTAATTATGATTTAACCATTGCATGACTGTGGCATGATAAAGTAGAATTGAAGCCAATTTAAAAAAACAAATCTAAATTTTAGTAGGATGGTATCAAGATTTGTTATGCAATTTGCTCTCCTGCAATAAGCCAATCAAACTCTAGCATAAAGAAGAATCTTACTTTTCAAAATGTTCTGAACATTTACATAAGTATGAGGTTCTTTTGTCATGCAGGACAAGTCTAAAGTTATTCCTTTGCCACTTTAGCATGTTTTGTTGTCAATGGAATGTGGGAAAGTGATAGTGTGTACAGCCTTTCAGTGAGAACACAGTTTGTGTTCTGTGATCTATGTAGTTATCTGTACATCATGCGTGTATAAATTTGTATACATTTTTGCAATGAACAGATCAGATTTTGAATTGCTTGATTGCATGATTGAATATTTCATGACTTACTTAACTGTTCGCATGTTGCTTGCCCGTATTAACATGATATTTTGCATTAGCTTTCATGACATCATTACCAGTCTTATCTCAACTGAAACGATAGGATATATCTAGGTACAAATGTGCATGTCCAATTGTCCATTATGGTCTAACTTTATAATACTACAGTACTTGGTATTGTAAAACAAAAATCTTTAGTTCCAATGTGTTTTGTACACACAAAATAAACCTTTTTTATAATATTTTTTTATTTGGGTAAGAAAAGATATCATGTGGCTATACTCGATTTAAATTAAAGGTCATCTTAGTTATGCAGATCTAAAAAATAAAATAAACCCTTTCCTTTTGATGCATCATCAGTTTATCAGTGGGCATATTCAGCATGGATCGGAGAACAGTATCCAATGTAGAAGGGCAGTGTAAAGGAAGAAAGTGTTTATTGGTCTTATCTTTCGAAAAGAAACTAATATTTAAAAAAAATAATGCAGAGAAGTAGAGTTATTCAGGGGAAGGAATCCCTCCACCGTGCCTTGCAGTAGATATTCCAGTTAAACCGTCTAATATAATGTCCTAGATTTTGGCAACAGTAACCTATTACCCTCAAGCTAATTGTACATGTTTGTCCAACCCCTAATATCGTATCCGGACACCTACCCCCTGGACATCCACCCCCCCCCCCCCCCCCCCCCGGAATAACCACTCTCAGTCAACACCCCCTAGGACAACTAACCCCTAGGACAACTACCCCCAGACAACCAGCCCCAACTACAGTCCCAGGGGGTAGTCATCCTAGAAGGTGGTTGCCCTAGGGGATAGTTGACTGGGGGTGGTTATCCAGGGGGTGGATGTCCAGGGGGTAGGTGTCCGGATATGCTCTAATATATCCCAATGTATTAACAATCTAACATCACAACCAAAGCATGCATCCTCATTGATTCTAATCACTCACAGCTTGAGCGAGCCACCATTTAGAACTCGACGTCAGGCCATCTCGAGCAAACAAAGTTTAGAATCAGCAAGTGCGGTTGGGTGCAACACGATGAGGCTGAGGTCATCAGACGGCTCTATCGCAGGGTCGGGGCATACACCGGACTCTCAATGAACGCTACTGAGTTTCTACAGGTGAGTTTTGCTGAAATATTGATACATTTGATATGCAAATAATTTCTTGATGGGAGGTACTACAGGTTTGCTGTGTGCGAGACCTATACACCCATTAATGATATTTTCACCAAGTTTGGTGTCGGTGAAACTGATGACCATCTCCCTTTAATGTGGGAAATATGATTTGTATTACCTGTACTTGTTTCAAAATTGTTACTAGGATCCTTGTCGTTTGATAAATCACTGTTTCCTCATCTCCCGGGCATCAAGAATCAACTGACGAAGTTGGATCTGAAACATTAACTGGTCACTAGAAAATGATAATGACCAGTCAGTAGCATTTTCTAATGACCAAATTTTATTCTCAATAACTGTTAGCAAAAATGAATGCCTGGTCACATGACTTCTGTCGACCAATCATTTGATGGTAATCCACATCGGCATTTTATAAAGCTTATCAATGACCACCTGGACATGGATGTTACACTCTTTGCTTTGCTTCCCTTTAACATTGTTTTTCAATGATAAAATGATTTTGAATATTTTAGAGCTACAATTTTTTTCTTCTTTCTTTTCTCCTCCAGATAGCCAATTATGGATTAGGAGGTCATTATTTGCCTCATTTTGACTTTACAAGGGTGAGTTTTATCATTGTCTTGCATACTACAGTGAAACCTGCTTTAGCAAGTACCTGTAATTTCCACCAGTCTACAAAGACCACATAGTTTGTTTCATGTGGACGGCCTTTATACAGGTCTCGCTGTACATTGAATAAATGATATGTGTACTTAATACATATATGTATGAAAGAGATTTCGATGCTGTAGTGCATTTCCTTTAACAAATAACTTTAACTTTCAGAATACAGCCCAAGTTCATTTTAGGGACATATTCCAAATACTTCATTGTGATGTTTATCTAGCCAAGAAATTGAAATTGCATCAACTATGTTTAAATGTGAAACAGGCAGAGTATATATTTAACAGAGGAGCATTAGTTTTAAATAGTCTTATGTATTTTCATTGGGTTTTTCTTTTTTCTTGTGTTTTAACAGGATGTCGCAACACACAAAAATGGCAACCGAATAGCATCCATGTTATTCTATGTAAGTGATTTTCATATTCTTGTAATAGCAGTATATGGCTTATTTTAATGATTGTTCCTGGTGCCCTTTCTTTAGCATTTAGAATGGTTGTGTATTTGTTATACATTTTATTCCATAGATATTTTTTTTTTTTTTTTTTTTAAATATGATCCAGCAAGGTCCTGGGACATGACCCCTCCCCCCCCCCCCCCACGAGCAGAAAAAGAGACGATAAGAATAATAATAAGTAAAGAAGTAAAAAATAAGGTTAATAATTAAAGATTAGTTCCTAGATTTTCATAGCATGGAAAATTCACAACAGGTCACAAATCTTTGCTGTGTGGTTTTCTTTCCAGTGGACAGATTTTGCTCAATAAAATGACCCCAAAAAGAGGAAAATTGGGGGTAGGAATAATAGGTCATAACACTTAAAACAACTTGAACACAAAGTAACAGATATCTCTACTACTTGGCTTAATCACACAAGAAAATAAATGGACAAATCATGTTTTATTCTATGAGGTGACAAATTCCACTTACTGGTAGTTGGAATGTATCTAGTTAGATGCATATTTATTTTCAATTATTATGTGTCTTATGTATCTCTTTTTTCAATTTCATAGTTGAGTGATGTTGCAAAAGGAGGAGATACTGTGTTTATAGATGCTGGAGCAAAGATAAAACCAGAGAAGGTGATGTATATGTGGCTCAACTATGTCAGAATTTTAGAATACTTCTACTATGTTATGATTTTCTTCTGTCAGTTGCCAAGTCTTGCAAGCATTATTGAAGAAAATGTTTGTTTGTTTGTTTTAGCTGACTGCTAAGCATTTGTATGTTTGTAAGTAAGCAAAAAGTGGCCCGATGGCTTTAAGTCCTCTCTGAGGGACTTGGTAATAATCAAAGGGCACTAGCACATTTAGCGCATTGAATCGGTTTGAACCAAAGACCTTTGAGCCACTGAGCCATCGTGCCTCCGTAGTGAGATGACAGTACGTACTGTGGATAAAGCACTGTGATTCAGATTTCTCATTCTATTACCTTAATCCCTTCTTGAATACATTTCTGAACATTATTATTAACTGAAATTTCTAGAGTGAAAACTTTGATTGCAAGTGGATCTAAAGAAAGTTAATGGTATCAGTGTGTTCACAACAATATCCTTGCAGCCTCAAATAATGTACTGTTGTGTTTTTATTTGCAGGGGTCTGCAATATTTTGGTATAACCTTTTCAAGAACGGCAAGGTGGATGAGAGAACTAAACATGCATCCTGTCCAGTAATATCCGGTTCTAAATGGGGTAAGTTTTATAGAAAATTATATTCAAGTTAAAAAACAATTTGATTAATTAATTAATTTTTCTTCTTGAAATTAGCAACACTGATATTTTTCATGAACATTACATTTTTAAACAAAAACTTGTATTTTCAATTTAGAAGTGACTAAATTTTAAGAGAAATAAAAATTGAACTTTGGCCGACAAAACATGTATGTGTAACCAATATTTCAATGTGCCCTTTTTTATGAAAAAACAGTATATAATGCTATTAAAGAAACAGATTCTGTAGTCCAATGCATTACTCTATTTTATGGAATACTGTGCCCTAGTTTTTATTATATATTTAATATTTCATTCTATTTTCTAAACCTTTTTGTTGTTGCCTGTCTGTACTTTGAATCTATCTCTAATTCTTCTTTGTCTATTTATTTTTGCATTTCCATGTTCTTTCTCTGACTGATTTCTCTTTCTTTCTCTCGTTCTCTGTATCTGCTTGTTCTCTCCTGTCTGTTCCTTCACTGTTCTCTCTCTCTCTCTCTCTCTCCCTCCCTCGCTCCTTCATTCCCTCCCCCCTTCATTCCCTCCCCTCACCACTCTCTCTCTCTCTTGTTCTCCTCCCCTCCCTCTCCCATTGTCTCTCACTCTCTCCTCTCTTTTTATTTCTCCTCTTCTCTCTCTCTCTTTTTATTTCCCCTCATCTCTCTTTTATTTCTCCTCTTCCCTCTCTCTCATATCCCAGTTGCTAATATGTGGATGCACGAGCATGGTCAGGAGTTCAGACGGCCATGTTCGACTGGGAAGAGTGAGTGATAACTTGTGATATCTTCGGCTTCCCTTCCAGTCATCTTGCGAAGCCGTACTTGCCAAATTTACCAGCCATTTCTTCTAATACGCACAAAGACGCAAACCGTCAACTGGAAACTTTCCTGATATGAAACTTTGAACAATTATTAAGAACAGCTTATTTTGACGGCAAGTAACTTACGAATCGCAAAATGAAGAGTTATTTTCGTTGTTATTCATTGATTTCCCAACTTGAGCATTTCGCCATTTGTAACCATGTGGATAATTCCTGAAAATTGCATACAATATTACAATATTAAAGCTAGGTTTATTGAAAGTACCCTGTAAGATTTGATTAAAAACTGTAGGTAATGTTATGTTCGGTTCAAAGGAACAAGAAGAAAGAGTTGAAATCCAGTTTATGTTCCAGATTGAGCCAGGATACACATTATTTTTTTGTAAAGATTATGTTGCCAAAAATGAGTGTTTTACTACAATATCCTGCTTTTTGTAAATGAAATTTGTTTTGTTGATTAAAACCAAGATGCAATTTTCTTCAAGTTGGGAAGGGAAATGTCTGTATCAACTATTTAAGTAGTAGTGTTGTTAAAACGTCAGTGGACTGTAGTACAGCATTACAAAATGTGATTTCTTTACCAGCAAACGTTTATATGCTAAACTGTGAAGTCATAAAAAGCTCTCCCAAAATTGGTTAGAGATTAACACTCTTATTGTTGATACGTGTGGTCCACAATAATGCATAAAGTAACAAATGATAAACTAAATTGTGATTTTCTCAGGGAGACAAGTATTTCTAACGTAAACTCGACTAGGTTTGATTCTGTGGATGGATATAAAAATGAGAACCAGTCATTGGAACATATGTATGTTTTAGCAACTAGTGACAGTGGCTAAGATATGTTCTTTCTTGTCCGTCCTGTGTAGAAAATTGCAATGTTTCTTTCTTGTGTAGAAATTACTGTGTCATGCCTTTAATAGCGTTTTCTAAAACTTGCATAGTGATTTACATAGACAGTGTAGCACATATGATGTTCAGATATTAATGCCTTTAAATCATTGTCAATGTTTGTTTAGAAGTTTGTAGGTTTCAATAACTGCCAAGATATGCTGTCGATATGAAATAGGAAATCATGGAATGCCACCAGTGTAACTTCCAATATTTGAAAGGCATAGTTTGTATTAAGCAGATTTTTTGCGTGCAGTTGTTTTGTGCCTGTTTTGACGAGATAAAGTAGATGAAATGTGTAGAATTTTAGTTCAGGTTTGGACCTTGTTTTTGAAATATAGATACATTTGTACAGGGTTTGTAGAGTATAGTGTTGAATGAATTAGATTAGAGAGTGATAGAAATTTATTACATAATGAAGTACTATCCATTATCTCAATGGTTAAGCTTCATGTTGGCAGTCTTTTTTAAATTTGTGAATAGATTTAATTCATTTTAATTACACAAAGAGATATTTTCATACTTTCGAGTCAGTAGTTTTATTAGAAAATTGGTGCTGTTTTTATGGCCAGTATGCCTCATTGATTTAAAATGAGTGACTTGAAATTAAAGCTACCAATAAGACAAACTAATTCAGCACATAACTGTACGAGTATGTGTTTTTTATTCGTTGTGGGATTAAAGGAGAGAGAGAGAGAGAGGAAATGGGGTGGGGGGAATGAGTACAGGGAAAATAATTATTCAAAAGAGAGGAAGGGTTAAAAAACAGAATGAAGGGAAAGAGTAGAAGTAGAAGAGAGAATTTATGACAAGAGGAAAGGAAAGAGAACAAGAAAAAGAGGGAAAGAATTGAAAGAGGAGCAAGAGAGAGATATATATGGGTGATTACAAAGAAAATGAACATACATTGAGGGGGAAGAGAAGACATGAACAAAATCCTCTTTTTCAGTCATGAGCATGTCAGAGAGACATGAAATTATAAACAGTTTATTGTTAATATTTACACATTACTGCACAATCTTGACAACACTGTACACAATATACAAATATAAAAGTTAAATACACGTAGAAAAAACATCAAGACCATCACAGAGGCGTTTTTTTTAATGCATAGTATTGCTTTTGAAATTGAAAGCACATCACTTCATAAAATGTATGATGTAACAGGGCAATGCATGCAAGCTACTGAAACATCAGTACGATCACAGGCACATCAAAAATATTACGATGAAACACTTCACAAATTCACGAGTAATGTGCATGCACAAGCTTTATATTAAAAAGACAAATGTATAATTGGCATCAAAATACAACTTATTTATTCATACTAAACTTGCCACAGAGAATTTGTAATGCCCACTCTATACCAGAAAAAAGATAACTAGTAAGGCTTTACACCATGTAAATCTAGGCTTAATTGAAATAAGCAGTTGAGTTAGACATTCTTATAATAATAAATTTCAAAATTGTAAACAGAGCACAAATAGTACAATGCCATTATTCACACAGCATCAAATATCTTTTGATTGAAGGGAGAGAGAGCAGAATTCACTGTAAATGTTGATATTTTTTAAGGATGACCTACATGTAAAGTTACGCATTTGTGCAGAAGCTATGAAAAGTTTTGTAGATTTAGAGTTCGCATTTAACATGAACTAAACACTATTCAAGATAAAGCATTCATGTACGAAAGATCGCATGATTAAAAAGTGCATTTTAAGACAAAGATACATGTACAAAGAAAAAAACAATTTGTACATAGAGTTGCTGGAGAGAAAACATGTCAAATATACTAACCCTTTTTAATATCAAAATTCTTAATCTAAGTTTCGAACATGCAATTTGTATAATTCCTGTGCACTTTTAACAGTACAGCATAATATATTTTGTTGTTGACAAGTAAAAGGTTAGTTTTTGATTTCAAAATATTAACAGAGTACTGTTTTAATTATCAGTTCATAACTACAAAATTAATGCATGGTAATCTAGCTGCTTTAAAGTATAAAGAAATCTCTTTTCTTTTAAATTTAACAATACAAGGCCTTAATAAATCATAACTAAGGATAATTCACAGAATGTTCTTACAGTTGTTCATTCACATGTTCTTCTCTATACGATCCCTGATAATTTGAAAGATTTCAGGCATGTACACAGTGCATAATTAGATCTCTACTCCTTTCTGAATCTCCCATGCATGAAGGCCTCTAAATAATTGACAAATCTGCAGTATTTTACATTCAACATGGCAGCAACAGAGGACGGATGCCATGTGAAGATAATAATGCCACCACAAGAGAATAACTCACACTTGTAACTGCAATTTGTACAAACAGTTTTCACCAATCTATGTCTCTCCTAAGTTCTATTGTTGATGCTTTCTCTCTCTGAGTTCTTGTGTCCTCAAGTTGTTTCTCCTCATCCTTCCAAATGTAGCACATTTTGCTGCAAATGTAGCTAAACTGTGATTTCTCCTTTTTCCTGGATTTTGTAGCCATTCAACGAGTACGCTCCTCCTTGACATTCAAATTAGCTTGATGCATTTCAAGGTGTACATTATGTCTTCTTCAGACATCAAATATCCAAGCAGCTTTCGAAGCTACCTTAAAGAATGTTCACATTGTTGTTGACATCCCTGAATACATAAATCTTACAATTGTTGCTCCCTTAACAGATGCCGTGGACAATTCTTTCACAAAACATACACATGTCCTTTAATATACCCTCACTTTCTCTCTCTCTCTCTCTCTCACTCACTATGTTTGTCTGTCTCTCTGTCTCTCTCCCTATCTGTCTCACACACTCTCTCTCTCTGTCTCTCTCTCTGTCTCACTCTCTCTTTATCTCTCTCTCTCTCTCTCTCTTCCCCCCCCCCCTGTATTCACGCTCTTTCACAGTATACAGCATTAAATGTCTGTGTCTAGTTCTTTCTAGCTGTCCACTTTAACAAAGACTTTCCGCCTGGTGAAGATCTTGATGGCTTCTTCCACCTCTGACAACCGGTTCTCGATCTCCGCTTTCTGGTTCTTCGCTCGCAGGGTTTCAACCGACAGAGGAAACTTCCGCAGAGTGTTCTGGAGGTCTTTCTCCTCTATGGGGAGAAAATAAAAACAAACAAACACAGAAACAAATAAATAAACAGAGAATAGAGAATTGAATGGAGAAAATGTGTTAATATCATGTATATATGTTTTGTAGGATCTGTTTCTTCTATTTAATCATCTTTATAAAAAAAAGAAATTACAAACATCTTTTCCAACATATATAACCAACTAAAGGTGTATTGATAATGCATGCAAGGTTAGTTGTACAAGCACTCTGGACCCTTATCTGATAATTTCTGTGTTAATGACTTCAGAAGTCGAAATTGGATTGTCTTAATGAGGTCAGATCCTTCAACAGCAAATATCTTAAATTTTTCAGGCAAAAAGATAATCATTTAGAGCATTGGAGAAATTAGCATCTATTATTTCTTTATTTGCCAAGTGCATTTCAAATTTTTACTGCTAGCAAAATGGACATATACAGGTACAGTCAAACCTGCTTTAGTGACCACCTGCCTTCAAAGACCACCTGTCTACAAAGGCCACATTTGTTGTTTCCCTTGAAAATGGTTTCTCATTGAATCGTGTACTAAAGGAACCTGTCTATAAAGACCACCTGTCTACAAAGGCCACTTTCTGTGTTTCCCTTGGGTGGTCGCTATAGACAGGTTTGACTGTATATGTATACCAACATTGCGACAATCTCTTAAAAACAGTTCTATACAAGTTGTTTGGCTTTCTACTGGTAGTCTCCAGTCCAAAGTAATTTGAGCGAAACCTTCTATTACACATGTGGACTGATAGAAATGTAATACAGTCAAACCTGTTTTAGTGACCACCTGTATACAAAGATAACCTGTGTACAAAGACCACATTTGTTGTTTCCCTTGAAATGGTTTCACATTGAAACATGTAAAGGAAATTATACATAAAGACCACTTTTCATGTCTCTCTTGGGTGGTCTTTGAAGACAGATTTCACTGTAATATGTTGTACAAACAAATAAATAGAGCAGTATCTTCTTGCTAGACAACAACTGTCACTTACTCTCTTTGAGAATCTCCAATGTCTTAAGTCTCTCTTCCTCTGCCATTTTTCTATGACCAGGAGGCATGTCAGGATCAGGCATGTTTCTTATCCTCTCCTCTGACTCTCTCTGCCACTGGTTCTGTCTGCTTTGTAAGCTGGAGTTTGAAAGATATGAAAGATATGATGGAGCATTAACATCTAGCACAACAAGTTAATATTACTTATAAAGAGGAATAAATTCCCTATTTTTTGCCAAAAATTAACATTGTATATTTGTGGTTTCATGCAAGTATCCTACTGCTGGAAAAGGAGAGGCTGAAAAACCTAAGAATCATTTCACAAAAACGTTTGCTAACAACCCATTGAAATGTGTGTATTAAATTTATCACACGTTTCAATGTGTTGTCGGTAAACTTGTACTTATGATGGTTTCATGAAACGATGCCAAAATTTTTAACAAAACTACCAGCTTTAAACACTACTTCTGGAAAAGGAGACAAGGTAAAAACAGAATTTAACAACACAATTTAACAGTTAACAACTAAATTATTCATACCCAGAGCTGCCAACCTCCAGAACAGAAAATCAGTAATCACAAGGCTTAAAATCAGTAATTTCTTAAGTGGTGTTATGAATCTAAAAAAAAAAAAACGCATGTCAACACTGCGTGGATGCATCCCGCACATGACTGTTTGGAATTTTTTGGTGATTTTACTCACACAAAATTGCTAAATATTGATTATCAGGTCATGACAACACATCAGTTTTTCATGAAAAATTGGCTTCTATTAAGAGAATACCGCCATACTGCACAGCACACACAGCACACAGCATACGATAAATCATATTTACGCAGCAATTTTTTTTTTTTTTTTTTTTTTAAATCCATAATTTTAGACAACATTCTGTAATGATCGTTAATTTTCGTACCAATTACGGGAAATCCATACTACATGTAGTTGGCAGGTCTGCATACACTTACCAACTTTTTTCTTTTAAGTGTGTGAAAAATTGATGTGTCCCGATTCATGTTTCTTGAGAATGTGACACATTACAGCCTAATTCAACAAAGGCCCTAATTCTGCCAGTCTACATTTCATTCTTGCGTTACGAAAAACACAAAGCAGCTCAAAATTTACATGGGTTATGAATAATTCAGTTGTTTCCTGTATCTATGTTACAAATGTTTGGATGAAAAGAGAGATCAGTTTAGACTTACTACTTTGGTGTGTGGCCTCTCTTGTATCTCTCCATATCTCCCTCCTTTTTCTTTTGTAGCGACTCCAGGGCTTGCGCCGAAGGGGGTCTCTGGGGTTTGACCTTCTTGGCCAGCTTGGCGTTGTGTGCGATGAAGTTGGTTGCGCTTCCGTCTACATGAAGACTGACCTGATGATATCAAAGAAGTGCAAAGGTATGAGAGAATTTTACAGGCCTATTCTTATTATTTGATGTGAATTACAATAATATTAATAATAATAATAATAATAATAATTTGTTCATTAATATCAATGCTGTTCTTCCTGCTTTTACCCCAGAAATTGCCAGGTACCTATTTACACATGGGTGGTGTTAGGAACCTCATATATTCATGTCTGTTAATTATATGCATGAGCAGAAAGACTAGCGTGTGAAGGGGTGATTTTGATTAAAACCTATGACTGTGTTTGTCACAGGTATTATTTAATTTTGTTTTGTATCAATACTGTTGCTACTGTTGTGATGTGAAGTGCATGAAGATATGATATGATCATACAATCTAATGTCACCTTGTTGTGACAGTGGAGAGTGGTAAATGTGGATTGATGTCTTGGGCACTCATCTTTCTAAACCATAATCTAAGAAACCATAGCCTATCAAAACATAATGAACATGATATGATTGCTTAGATATGGTTAGGGTCATACCTCTGATGAAGCGCTACTAGGGCGGGGTGCGGGGCTTGGAGAGCGCCCTCTTGAGACTGCTCCTGTTCGACTGTGGGATCTTAAGTAGTTTGCTGAGGCCGGCCTGGGAGGAGGTGGGGATTTCTAACAGAGAGGAAAGAAAAAGTCCAAACAAACAGTGGTTGAGTGGAATATATCACTTCAAGTAAAACAAACTTCATGTAGACGCTGCTTGTAGTATTTGCACTAAACTGTACTGTCCTTATCTTGACATCAACCTACATCCATAACTTCCAAGTCAGAAATACAGGATTATTATGGCTTAATTAGAACAATTAAGAGACTGATTATTTGAAAATTTGTTCTGATAAGTAATTTGTAAATTGCAAAATACTGTACATACTAACTAATTTATTGAAAACACATGTCCGTGTAAACCCACAGCATGAAGACGTTTTTTGGTTGTTCTTTTTGTTGCTCAGACATTTTCTTATCTAATTAGAATTAGCACATCGATTAGAAAAAACATATTAACATGGATGTCTGGAATCTTGTAACAAACATAACCATGCTGAGTTGGCAGGAAACACAAACAGAGAATACATGCATCAATGCAAAATAATAAAATTGGAATAGAAATGTTATTGTACAAAGAAGACAGACTTACCTTGAGGTTTTCTGTGACCTTCGAAGCAACAACCTTGTATTTCTCAGACTGCGGTAGCACTTTCATAGGTTTATTCTTTTCAACGACCTCCTCCCTCTGTTTATTCCTGCTCTTTGACTGTATCTGTCTCATTCGCCTGACATTGTCTTTGCTGAAGTCCTTGGGCTGGGGTTCTGAAAACACATAAATGTACAAACAATTTTATAAGTACAGAACTACAGATACAGTGATTGATTCGCATGGTAGAAAATATATCAAAATCCAAATTCATTAACGACTTATTTTTAAAATGTAACATCTATTGCAATTCATATAAATTTGGAGAGAAAAAGAATATTCCAGATACTTATAACAGCACTGTTTAAAAAAAATTAAGATAAAGACAAATATAAAATGTACATGGAATGAAAATTATATCAGAAATAACAGATCCAGAGATCCAGAGCATCTTATGGGGCGTTTGCAAAATCCTATATATATAAAACTATTTTACCAGTAAATTTGTAAACTTTGTGCATGAGCCTAGCAATTTCTAACTAAGCTTGCCCTAGAAAGAACTACATGTATGTTTTTGTGTACATAGAGAAAGCAAAGGTCAATTTCTAATTCTAAACAACATGAAACAAAACCAATTTTTCAAGGTCTTCATCAACATAATAATTACACAAATATTCTGAAATGTAAAACTCCAACATGAGCAAAATGTTTTGTTGTGATTCAATTATGTCTGTTACCATAAATTTTAATCAAATCAACAGGAACAGGACACAGGTGCAATGTTTCATGTTCTGTACATTGTACATGCTGGTACTGAGCACCAAGAGATACACCATACATACAATCTACAGTTGTACATACTCTGCCTCGTTGGTGGTCTGTAGACGTTCTCCCCTGTAACAAGTAGATTGCCGACACTGCCTTGGGCCTTGGTAGCAATTTCATTGGCCTCTGGCCTCACTCTTGGGGCGGGTCGACTGGACTCGGCTGACCAACTTGACCGACGCTCATGCCCACCTGACCGGGAGTAGCCTGGATCGGTCGGAATTGGGCCTGAAAGCATCATCTTGATACTCTTTCAAGGGACTTCTATATGGAGATGATGCACCAGGAAATAACAAACTTCTTCCTGTAAACAAGATAAGATTGAAATTAGAAAATGAAAATGAGAAAATAGTACATCCACCTTTAAAGAGAAGGTTGAGTTCTGGGAAGAGGTGAAAAATAATTTGTGAGCGTTATCATTATTATTATGCAATATTAGATCGCGTAGTCCCATATACATCTATCTGTGTACAGTGCTTGTAACTTTACCAAGACTGGGCCGAATTTCTTATCATTTTGATGATTCCAGAACCTTGCAGTGGACATCAATACTTATATGCTAGATGATCAACCTTTTCTGATCAATTCCACAACGTTTCTTTTACAATGACCAGAACTCAACTTCAAATTAAAGGAGTAATGGAGACACTACGGTGAATGGAACTTCTCCTTTAAACCAAGAGTTTATTAAATTCATGAAAACAATTTGTAAAAAATAGGTTTCCTTATCTTACCAGAACCTGTAGATTGCTACGACACTGGAGCCCATGTTAGGTCTATGAATGGGTTAGAAGAAGGAAATTCTAAGAAATCTAGGGTCTGTTATGTGTTGTAAAACTTTTGCTGAATTTTAAAACATCATGATAGTTCAGGAATATTTTCACAAGCAAGGTATCACCTGATATGTACTTGTAAACCAGTACTCAGTAGCTCTATGAATTTTAAAAATAATTTATGGCCTGTTTCTTGTCATTTTGAAGGCCGTGACTGAGAAACAATCATGTCTTAATAATAATAATAATAATAACTATTTCTTATATGGCGCTTTTTCAAGAGGGCCCTATCAAAGCGCCTTACAGATATATATACTATTACTTGAGTTTGGGGATGGTCGAAGCACACTTTGTGTAGCCCATGAATGCATAGGTCTACCGGTACTAATTTTATACTGTAAATTGTGATTATGAAGCTTGCTGTCCCCTCTGGCTCTGCTACACACATTTTGAGAAATGTTGTCTTCTCTTCTTTACTTTAAGTTTCACCAGCGGACTTTTTTTGAAGAGTTTTTCTGAACCTCGAATCCACTTTGCGGATGATTTAAAAAATGAATGAAATAGAGCTAGAATAAGGATTAGATTTAGAGCCGGTCTAAAATCTAGACTCTAAATTTAATTGAATATCAACTAACTGGTATCATGTCTGTTTTGTCAGTTTATTTCATCAAAAATTGATATTATGTGATTTATGTCGACATTTTGAATCTTTCAGTCATATTATGATATTTTTTGGACATCTTTGTCAACAAATTGTTTTAGTTCTTGGTTTAGTTACTCTTAAATATTCTTCTTAATCTTAATTCTTATGATCAAATCAAAATACAGTTTTTCTTGACAAGCTTGTCAAAAGAAGGCCTGCTTCATGTATCGTACGTCACCATCGTCGATTAAAGATTAAAGATTAATCAAAATTGCCATGGCATACTTAATACAAAATATTATTAGTATCATGTCTGTTTTATCAGTTTATTTCATCAAAAATTGATATTATGTGATTTATGTCGACATTTTGAATCTTTCAGTCATATTATGATACTTTTTGGACATCTTTGTCAAAAAATTGTTTGTTCTTAGTTTAGTTACTCTTAAATATTCTTCTTAATATTAATTCTTATGTTCAAATCAAAATACAGTTTTTCTTGACAAGCTTGTCTACATATATTTTTTTGTCATGTGTAAATTTGCAATATTTGTTTGTTATATATTTGTAAAAATGCAAAAGAAAAAGAAAATCAAACAGAAATAAATAAATCCAAAAAAAATTTTAAAAAAAATAAAAAAAGAAGGCCTGCTTCATGTATCGTACGTCACCCTCGTCGATTAAAGATTAAAGATTAATCAAAATTGCCATGGCATACTTAATACAAAATATTATTAAATAATAGCTGCTACAAAGTACAAGGGCAACACGTAGACTAGAACTTTAGCTTACATTTAGCGCATGCGCAAATCTTTCATTCGATCTCGGCAAATCGCAGCCTCATTTTACTAAATTGGCGCCGACAAGGGCCCTTTTTATTGGCTATCGCTGTCTTCCATTCACTCGATGTTAGATCTAGGTCTAGATATAGGATATTTGTGCGAGGAGCAAGCTTAAGATTTTCTGTTGCGCTTAAGTTAAGTAGGCCCTCTCTCACTTAAATTTCTAAGCCACTCGAGCGTGTAAACTCAGTCTACAGTGCTCAATGCGCAAAGTTCTTTGGGGGCAAGGGCAAGGCGCTAGCCGTTAAAAACACGACCGTTAATTGGCGACTTCTCGGTCCAGATTGTTTCAACAATAAGTCAACATGTCTCTAGATCTAGACTAGTCTAGATCTATGCAGAACAAACTCAAAGACAAGCAAAGTCAATTATCATAAAATACTGAATTAGAGGACTATTAATAATACTATTAGCCTTTGAAAACCAAGGCAAGAGATTATATGCAATGCGATATGCGGATCAAAAAAAGTGTGTGGCTGCTAGCTACTGTCAGCGGACGCGGACAGAGGTCGTAGGCCGCTACCGACGGCGAATTATTTCATGCAAATCCCCTTCACACCGGGGTGCACTCCAGTTGAAGACTACGACTCGCCATTCATTTCGTAGTTTCACTAGCTTTGAAGCAAGTATCGATCCATAGACATTAATAATGACAATCAAATTGTTGTTATGATATCGAATAATGTGATTTAATTCATCATTTACCTTTTGTTATGGATGAAATTGGGCCATTTTGTCGTTATATTCTGTATGTTTTGAAGCTCTAGTTGTAGAATCGCATAGCTTTCTCACGCCGATTGGCCAATCAGCGATCGCGATGAAATGACACGGGTTCATTGAGCATGCTCAATAGCCTTAGCAACGACAGTTTAGTGAAGTTGATTGTACGTGCGCGTACGTGCTCCGTATACATCTCTGTGCAAAAGGAGCATTAACAATTCACCCTGGTCCCATATGCAAAAAACGAAGCTGGTGTGAAGCAGAATAACAGAAGTTTTAATTTCTCTTAACGTTTTTCGAGGAGTGTCAAAATGTAGACTTCAGGACATGTTGAATTCTAAAAGATTGTAAAAGTGGTAAGTAATATTAATGATAATAAACGGACGAAATAATAACAAGTTTGTAAAATAAAGACTCATTTGTTTTGTCGAGTCAAAAATATTGTCGTTCACTTTGTTTTCATTCAATTTAAATTTCAAACATAAACTTGAGAAAGGGATTATGCCCCCCCCCCCACCAGATCTCTAGATGTTTTTTCTGAAAGTCAGTTATTGAATATGTTAACATTCATTGACCAAACTGTCATGACGGCTTGGGTGATGGCACAAGGCAGGATTTGTCTTGTCTTTTTACTTTTGTTTTCAATTGATGTGATCGAGTTGAGAATGCATGAGAGAGACGGAGCTGAAAAAAGTTGAAACTGAATCATTCACCATTAGACTATCATTATAATTTAAATAACAGTCTATAGATCTATTTGTAGTAGTACTAGTAGTACATCTAGGTCAACATTAATGTTACGTTTAATTAACTGTGTTGGGCCTAATGATTATGTTTATAAATATGATTTGGTGTCCAAATTTCGGGGACATTAATGGCGCTAGTTCAGAAGTCTATCCAAAATTTGACCCGTAACTCCGGCGTGGAGATACCCTACTAAAACATACCCAAAATGAAGTAAGTATTCATCAAATGTCCAAATAAAGGTCATGATTTAAAAGTTGATATGTTTGTTACCTGTTTCATGTCAATTTTCTTATTCTTTTTGAGTGTTTTTCCTAAAAACAAGGCTTATGATATACACTTTCTCACAGGATTCACAGCAAACTGAAGCACAATACAGTTGCATACCATACCGACAGTCGGGTGCGGGTGCGCGCGTGAGTTCAGTTAGCAACCGTAAACTAAGATAACAGTCCCTAACTTAATAAATTCTATTTCCCCCCGTTTACTTTGTACGTGCAATAGATCTATACCTTTTCTTTATGCACTATGGATGCACATTCTTTGATGGAATAAACGTTTTTGTCTTTTTCCTGCAGGATTATAAAGTTAAAGGATAAGTGTGTGGACAATCAAACAAACAAATAAGCGTCTGTCAAACGAGCTGCTGTTAGAATTCTTTGAACAACTCTTTTGATACCGGGAAGCCCAAACATGTCTCGGGCGACGGTGTCCAAGTCCAGGGCTGAAAAGGCCAAGGACAAGGACAAAGACAGGGGAGGAAGTACATCGGTACCGGTACCACCGGTCAACTCAGACGTGATACCGGGAAGATTCACAGAAACTGATTGGTAAGATAATAACCCATTGCCAGCAGGACTAGGGGCCTGTTTCATAAAGCTTTTAATTAATAACAAATTCTGAAATTCGAAACAAATTCACACTTTAACAGAAAACATGAGAATTGATGCAACTTACAAACAATGGAATCAAGATCTTATAGAACAGAAAAGTTATTTGCCATTTACACTTACAATAGGATAAGAAATTGCAGACTCAGAAATACATATCAATGTTGTCTCATCTTGCCCTTCATTTTCTATCCATTCTGTATCTCTATCCTTAATTCTGTCTGTTTATTGTTTTATAATCTCTATCCCCTTCCTGGAATTTTTCTTATTTCTACCTTCTCTCTTGCTCTCTATCTCTCTCTCTTTTTCTCTCTCCCTCTCCCTTCCCCTCTTTCTTCTCTCTACTGTACATCTTTTTTATATTATTCATTCCAATTACTTCTCCCTTATCCATAAATTGATAAATTGATAAATTTTCCCCTCATCTTATTTCTCCTAATTTTTTCATTTGTGTTCCTTTCTTTTTTCAGGAATTCTATGCTTGATAAAGAGGATGGGGAGGATTTCGTTATTGATATTGTTTCAAACATTGTCGACTCTGCCCTGACTGTTATCTACGACAACTATATACAGAAACAGCTCCACCCCTATGTAGTTACACAGGCCAGAGATGCGATACTTCAAATCATTGAGGTAAGTATAAGGAGGATAGAAAACTGTCAGTGAAGATGAATTATGGTACATGTTGTCTGGCCGCTATTAACCAGTTGCATCCTTTTGGTGGGCACATAACAATATTATTGAAGTTAGTTACTTTGTCGCAGGGATGATGATTTATTTTCAAATGACCAACATGATGCTTTTAGATCAGGAACATTAAAATACATCAATTGGAATCAGTGACCCCCCCCCCCCCCCCTGAAAAAAAAAAGAAGCATGTCTTTCATAGTGATTCGATTCTGCATCTATTTCAAACATTAAACTTGTTTTATTGAGTTTATGCAGTCTCCACGCTTCACTATTTTTTATTAAGTATGCATTCTTAAATAGTTTTAAATGTACTTTAAGATATTGAATTATTTTGTTGTTGTTGAATATTTGTCTTCAGTGGCAGTTTCTTGCTCGAGATGAAGGAGAGACACAACCAGAGAATGATGCAACATGGCTAGAAGAAGATGGTGAGTTGATACAGTCCAGTTGACCTCTTTTCAATATACAGTTACCTTTGCATAACTCATGCAAGTTAAATAAATTTTTGACCAAACCTATGCAAAACATGTGTTCTTCACACTTGGTCAAACCATTTTTGCGGTCCCAACAGATTCAACCTATGCAGAGTTAATTGTATTTGAACAACTACATATATTTTGATATATCAATCCTGTCACACTAAAAAGTCTTTTCTTCTCATTTTCAATTTGAAGCTGTTTCTATACTTCTCATTTTCAATTTGAATCTTTGTCCCTTTCTACCTTCTAGAGAAGAGAATTGTTTGTAATCTAGCCAAGACAGGATGAAATGCATAATTGTATAAATGTCACAAGAGACTCAGGATATATTGAAGTACTTTGTGTAATCTGTTCTTGTAGTGTTTTTTTTAGAAAGAGATACATCGTATTTTAGTAAGATGATTATTTGCTCAGTGTATTTGAGAATGCAAATGTATAAGTAGAATTTGTACTATAATGTTGCACAAGTGCAACCAACGTTTTGTAGTACACATGTGGATACATCAGAAGTTCTAGTTGAATTTTGATGATTACACAACAAATCATGAATTATTTCTTACACACTTTTTGATGGTTTGTTTTACCATCCTCATGCAGAGCCCATGCCCTGCGTACCCGATGCCTGGGCCCAGGGTTCCGTTCCCCAGAAGAACCGACCACTCATGTCCCCTCTGCTCTCGGAGCCAGGCACGGACATCACCGACGTGACCGGCATGTCCCACCATGTCATCCTTGAGGACGTTGTCTGCGAGTCGCACGCCGATATCGAGCTTGCAGATGGAGAGGAGGAAGGAGGAGAGGAAGATAAGGAAGTGGATGGGGAGGAGGAGAAGGAAGAGGGAGGGGATCAGACCGAAGATGTGTCAGAGAGATTGGCAAACGCAGAGCAAGAGGAAGCGGAACCAAAGAGTGAAGAGGTCATCATAGAGGAGACTAAGGTAGGGATTGTAGCATTGTTCAATTTTCCGTTAGTTTCACAGTCACAGCAATCATCAACACAAAAAAGGATTTTTGTCTGAAAATTCATTAATATAAATGTCCATTTGCGTGCTTAAAGAAAGAAAAAAGATTAGCATACATGTACTTGTAGGTAAATGCCTGTTTTTGCTCTGTTGAATTTAGCCAATAATTATTTTTCCTCTTCTCATCTTATGAACATATCAATGTCATTCCTTTTGGTTAGATATTTGCCCACATTTAGCTTTGAGCAGCTCTGTTCGTTTTCTTTCAAACATCCAGGAGGTTTTCCTTTCAAGACAGTGATATTTGCAAGCCTTTAAAATATCCTCATGTATTTTATCATGTTTGAGGTTTATTTTGTTCTCAAGATTGTGTTCATGCAGGTATTGAACCGGATCTTCTTCTCAATTTTTATTTTCTTCCCGCATATCCAGGCGAAACAAGAGGCCCACCGTCCACGTAAGCCAAAGTTCAAACCCCACAAGGGCCGGGTACGCTCGGCAGGGCTGAGAGACATGCACAAGTCCTTGGACGAGATGGAGAGGGAGGTGCTGGAGGCAGAACGGAAGGCCAGCGAGCCCAAAGTCGTCAGGGACTCCATCTTGGATCACATGCCATCATCATGCCATTCGATACTCAAGGTTAGGGTCAGAGGCAATTTATTTGTGGTTCAGTACTTTTTATGATTTGAGTGTAAGCTTATAGTTCATGTCAATCAAATAATTAGATACATGTTTGCATATTGTTTGAACCGTTTCTCTAATCGTCAGAGGCGCAATGGCTCAGTGGTAGAATAGTGGTCTCATAACCAGGAGGTCGTATGGATAAAGGATCAACATATGCCTCCCCTCCCCCACCCCTGTAATTTGTAGTTCTATTATCAACTGAACTATTTGGTAACTTCATGATACTATAGGAGGGGATGGTATTTTGACAATTGTTTGATAAAGTGAAGTGAAAAAGAAAGAAGATTACATTAGATTATTAAAAATCTAAGTAAAATGGGACCGATTTAATGTTCTATAGACACATTCACTTATTGAACACATTAGTAAAGATCATATACACTAATAGGTCCCCATTTCAATGTATTTTAATGACCCTTTGCATGAAGTTCTAAGTGTACAATTATAAATAAAATTAATTTACAGCGTGGCAAGCTGTTGTAAAGTATGTTCTCTTTAAAAATGCTTACATGTATTTCCTCCACTGTAGAAGAAAAAAGCATTGCCGGGGTTTAGACTAGTGAGTATTCATTGAATGATTCACTGAAAGATATCTCACACATCTACTTGTGGGGTTTAGCAGTTGAGCAATTTTGAAAGGAATTCTCACTTTCTTATAAGAGTGAGGACATTTTGGTATCACAACACAACTTTTTAGATTTCAGATGTGAAAATCTTCTCGGGAGGGGCAAGGGAGCCCCTCTCACACCACCCCTGGGGTACAGTGTCATGTTCTTCCCTATCGTTTTATAACTTCTTCTTCGTTGCTCACATGCAGTGTTCATACCATTAGCAAGAGTGAGAACATTTGGTATCTGGTATCTTTTTATACTTTAGAATTCATCATATTCTTAGGATTGTAAAGGGGCAATTCCTCCTACCCATCACACACAGGTCACCTTCATCTATACACTTCTGTTGTATTTCTGTTTTTCTCTGTTCACTGACTATATCTTTGGAAAGTGAAGACATTAGCCTATCTGTGCACACATAAATGTAGGAAAGAATTAACATATTGGATATTGGAGGGGAGCAAATTTCTCTCCAATTTCACTTTGCCTATTCCATTACTTTTGCATGTTTTGGCAGTAGGCATTGCATGAGATGAGATATGAGATAGTAGAAAAAAGATTTACTCCTTTTGCACTTTAACAGAATGGTAAATTGACACTACGCAAGACGTTTGTTCCTTCCATTTCTTTTTTATGCCTCCGCCACCGAAGGTGGTGCCGGAGGCATCATGTTTTCGGGTTGTCCGTCCGTACGTCCGTCCCGTTTGACCGTTATCACAATATCTCAAGAACCATTTAAGATTTAAACTTAAGACTCGGGAATAGTATTTATCACCATAGGAAGACGATCTGATTAGATTTTGGAGTACGTAGGTCAAAGGTCACAGGTCACAGAGGTCAACTTATGAAATTCCTTGTATTGAGTTTGTTAGCGCGATATCTCAAGAACCATTTGAGATTTAAACTTCAAACTTAAGGATAGTATGTATCACCATAGGAAGACGATCTGATTAGATTTTGGAGCACGTATGTCAAAGGTCAAGGGTCACAGAGGTCAACTTATGAAATTCCATACATTGAGATTGTTATCATGATATCTCAAGAACCACTGGAGATTTAAACTTCAAACTTAGTGATAGTGTGTATCACTATAGGAAAACAATCTGATTACATTTTGGAGCACGTAGGTCAAAGGTCAAGGGTCATAGAGGTCAACTTATGAAATTCCATACATTGAGATTGTTTTCATGATATCTCAAGAACCACTGGAGATGTAAAAACTTCAAACTTAAGGATAGTATGTATCACCATAGGAAGACGATCTGATTAGATTTTGGAGCACGTAGGTCAAAGGTCAAGGGTCACAGAGGTCAACTTATGAAATTCCATACATTGAGATTGTTATCATAATATCTCAAGAACCACTGGAGATTTAAACTTCAAACTTAATGATAGTGTGTATCACCATAGGAAGACGATCTGATTAGATTTTGGAGTACGTAGGTCAAAGGTCACAGGTCACAGAGGTCAACTTATGAAATTCCTTGTATTGAGTTTGTTAGCGCGATATCTCAAGAACCATTTGAGATTTAAACTTCAAACTTAAGGATAGTATGTATCACCATAGGAAGACGATCTGATTAGATTTTGGAGCACGTATGTCAAAGGTCAAGGGTCACAGAGGTCAACATATGAAATTCCATACATTGAGATTGTTATCATGATATCTCAAGAACCACTGGAGATTTAAACTTCAAACTTAGTGATAGTGTGTATCACTATAGGAAAACAATCTGATTACATTTTGGAGCACGTAGGTCAAAGGTCAAGGGTCATAGAGGTCAACTTATGAAATTCCATACATTGAGATTGTTTTCATGATATCTCAAGAACCACTGGAGATGTAAAAACTTCAAACTTAAGGATAGTATGTATCACCATAGGAAGACGATCTGAGTAGATTTTGGAGCACGTAGGTCAAAGGTCAAGGGTCACAGAGGTCAACATATGAAATTCCATACATTGAGATTGTTATCATAATATCTCAAGAACCACTGGAGATTTAAACTTCAAACTTAATGATAGTGTGTATCACCATAGGAAGACAATCTGATTAGATTTTGGAGCACGTAGGTCAAAGGTCAAGGGTCACAGAGGTCAACTTATGAAATTCCATACATTGAGATCGTTATCGCGATATCTCAAGAACCACTGGAGAATTTTCACTTCAAACTTAATGATAGTATGTATCACCATATCATAATATCTCAAGAACCACTGGAGATTTAAACTTCAAACTTAATGATAGTGTGTATCACCATAGGAAGACAATCTGATTAGATTTTGGAGCACGTAGGTCAAAGGTCAAGGGTCACAGAGGTCAACTTATGAAATTCCATACATTGAGATTGTTATCATGATATCTCAAGAACCACTGGAGATTTAAACTCCAAACTTGTTTAAATTGCTCTATGGCGGAGGCATCATTTTCGACTGCGCGCAGTCAAAATTCCATCTAGTTTCTCTCTCCATGACTTTCTCTCATAAGGAGATGGTTTATGTTCCATATTTCAGCATATTCATCAGGTCTTCGGGGATCACACTCACAGAGACACTTCCATGTTTTATGTTTGTGGTGTCATATTTAGTTTTCATTCAAGTATTAGATGGTTGTTAACGGTAAAGTGTTAGACCAAGGACTACTGTGAACACATTAGTAAGACTAACTGTTATATCGCAACTATATTTTTACAACTGGACTATAGTGCTTGCTCACAACCTTGGTATCTCTCATTGCAAAAGTATGAAAGATAAAACCTTTCAAATTTCGGGAATTTTGTGCAGGGGTGCATTTTTTAAATATTTCAGAATGCCAACACACCTCATACACACTTTATACAAAAAGTAGTGGAGATCAAATTTTGAAATGTGTGTACCGGTAGTCAATCACTATGGCTGTGGATATTGCAGTATCAGTTTCAAGACCGATTCTATGTTCAATTCACCTTTTAGTAATACATGTACACTGATATATATATCATGATGTTCTCCCCCTGGAAAGGTCTGTCAGCCATAGGTCCCGGTGTGCTTACCTTCAGGCATATACTTGCTAAATCCCATAGCTCTGCAAAAGCATTCAAACAAACAAATTTGTGCTATGTATTGAGGTTTTAGAAAGTACCATACCAATTCATTTCGATTGGGGTGGGGAAAAGGAGACCACTATATGTGTGACACAATGAAGCGTCACTGTGCAAAGCGAATGGCGGTATACAAAAAGTAAGACCTGTTTCCTGTTTCACGATAATGCCAACATTTCTATATAGGTACCCAGCTGCAGGTACCCAGGCCATGTCTGACCGCAGTCACTATAATCCATTTTGTAATTGTCTTTGTGTGCAGGTTCAAGCTGGCAGACCACCAGGTAGCAAAGATGTCAGTTATGATGACAGGGGCAACGTTATATCGGTCGTTCGACTGGACCCTGACAAGCTGCCGTCACACAGGTAAGAATGTCCGCTGAACCTACACCTGTCGAAAGGGCACCTGTGATAATAATAATAATAATAACAATATTTCTTGTTTACCCAGGGTAGCTTCATTAGTATTCATACTGTTCTCCCTGAGGGCCCTGCAATCATATTATTACCCCAGTCATCGGATTCAGGCTTACCCGCACACAATGTATGCACATTCTCCACTCCCTGGGGAGCATTTCAGCCAGGCGTCATTTTTACAAGCGCACACTTGCCTATCTAAGCACATTAGCTTTCGCATCCTACCGGGTACCCATTTAACACCTGGGTGGAGAGTGGCAAATGTAGATCAATGTCTTGCCAAAGGACATTAGTGTCTGCAGGAATCACTTGATAATTTGTTGTACCACCAAATTGCTAATGGTTAGACTTTCTGTGCACAAAGCCTCACAGTTAGCTCAAATTGGGGTTGGTAGAATTCAAACGTAATTTGCTTGCAAATCCTGCATGGTGCAAAACATACTGTCTATCCACAATCCATTACATTTCACTTAACATTGTACTCGGTAAGATTCCAAAGTAGTGTGTGTCCAAATCCTGAATGCAGCTAAAACAAGTTTATATGCGCAGTGCGTCGCAGATCACCCACACTATATTTTGTGAAATTCCAAAGTTATGCTTGTTGAAATATTGTGCACACCAAAAATATTATACAATTATTGACTGGCAGGGGGTGTAATATAACATTATTTGGACCGCTGAAGGGAGTTATATTTCCCAAGTGGTTATATTTTCCTGAAGCGCGCAGCGCTGAGGGAAAATATGGTCACGAGGGGAAATATAACTCCCTTTGGGTCCAAAGAATGTTATATACCCCTGCCAGTCAATAACTGTTATATTAGATAGCCCTTTTTTGTGGGGGGGGGGGGGGGGGGGTCCAAAAATTGTTTGCCCGAAAAAAAAAATTCCCCTTTTTTTTCGGAAATTACGGAAAAATAATCTGTCGAGATAGTTCAAGAAAGAAAAAAAAACCTTACAAAAAAAAAAATTATAAAAAAAAATTGGGGAAAAAAAAAAAAAATCGAAAAAAAAAAATTTCTTACCTAAAAAAGGATTTTTTCGGGAAAAAAAAAAAATACCCAAAAAAGCATTTTTTGGGGAAAAAAAGAAAATGTGGAAAAAATAATTTCAATGGAAAAAAAAATTCATGAAAAAAAAATATTGAAAAAATTAAATGACCCTCGGTAATGGTGTAATGTGTGTAATTGGTGACATACAGTCCTCAAGAGGGCGACATGCATTGATTAAAAATATATTCATTTCACCAGCTGGTTAATATAACACCGAAAAGTGACCGGCCAGGAAAATATAACAATTTGGATCCTCACAATTGATATCACGTGACGAGCTCTGGACCAATCACATCTCGGTATCTGTCTAAGCTATCTAATATAAGAAAATAGTCCTGAGACATCTTCTCAGTTGGGACATCAGAGAATATGGATAGCTTTATTGTGTTCCAAGGACAATCATCTCCAGTGATAAGTACCCCCTGGAAACTACACCTAGGATAGACTCTCCCGCGAAAGTGAATCTCCAGACAAATAATCTCAGGACAGTACTTACATTTACCAGTTGACTGCAGATTTTATTTTTTGTTCTTAATGTCAAAGTTTAAACAAATATTGATAAATTACAAAATTAAGCATGAAAAGACATCTAATTTCTTGGCATTTACTGCGAGGCAGAGCTGAATGCTTCAAGATGATTCTTCATTAGAACGGCCTTTGTCGGCGACATTCTCCTGTTTGACCTTTCTATACAAGTACATGGTTCCGCATGTCTATTGTCATGATTCATATTAAAAAACAAGTTTGTGTTCATTTTTTGACATTTTCTCATAAGAAATTGTCGAAAGTTGGATTTGAGGGACAAAAAAAGATTTATGAGAAGGTAAGATTGAATGTTGTCACTCCCTGTTCGAAAACAAACTTCAAGCTTCTGTGTAAAACTGAATGTTTGTGTTTACACCGCAGTGCACAAGATGTGTCAACACAAAGCACATTGTATACAATAATTGACCGTGGACTGTTAGTATATGTTGGGGTAGGATAGAATTTCCATGTATATTTTCATTTGATTTTTTGTACCACCTTCTGTTAATTTCTATCACAACATTTGGTCTACCTAAAATAGAAATTACGTACTTAGTAAAGAAAGCATTTATAGCCATGTGAACCTCCAGTAGTTGCCTATGTGTAGCTGTCTTAGGAGCTAGTTGCAGGTTGTTTCTCTTGTAAAGCTGTGTAGGTATTGCATGGGGAATTGTCTGAATAGTCATCTAGTGTGGGGGTGGGGAAGGGGTGGCTAGTTCTTTGTTTTTGTTAATCATAAGAGGTACAGTTTCTTGGTAAACCTGTACTCCTATATTATGTTGGAAGGATAATTAGGTCATAATATTTCTTTGTTAATCCAAGGATAGGTGGATGTATAGAATTATTGTTTTTTAAGCTTTTTGAATTTGATTGCAGGTCATTTTTGTTTTATTTATTTATTTATTTATTTATTTATTTATTTATTTATTTATTTATTTATTTATTTATTTATTTTATTTATTTATTTATTTATTTTATTTATTTATTTATTTATTTTATTTATTTTTTATTTTTTATTTTTTTTTTTGGGGGGGGTGAGCGGTAATGGTGAGAATGTTTATTCATGTTCTCAAAGTTGCATAATATGTACAAAATATGAAGCAACTTGTAATGCTGTTATTGGCAAGATATTGTACAGGCTATGCACTTATTTTTGTAAAAGCTGTGGTCAGAGGAGCACTTCAGTGGTTTGAGCAGTGGTCCTTTGACCATGCAGAGCATAGCGTTTGCAAAACCACTTCAGTAGATCCATTCATTTTTGTAAGCAACCTCCCACTTGCCTAATTAGCATTTTTAAGCAATATAAAGTTTCATTGGTCTGCCTCTAGGTAGCTCATCTGCAAGTAGGTCTCATTGCTTGCTTACTCAAAGCCTATACTTGCTTTGTCTGTGGTCAGTCTACTCCCAATTCAGGGCTCAAATTCAGCAGTTGCCCACATGCTATTGGACACCTAAAATCCCTCCAGGCAACCAAAATTTTCTGTCTAAGTCGTCCAATTGAAAATATTTCCATTTTTATTCACATATTGTGCTTTTCTCTGTGAAGGTCATGAAAATTAGTGACCGATACAATCACCTGCAGTGTACATGCAGGTTGCTTGGCTATAGCAACCAAAACAAACTGTGACACATGAGTTCTGCTTAGTATAGACCTATGGTATACTTTAGGTCAATCGACACACAAAGATATTATTACATGATTCTTTTCTTGTTTGCAGAGTGAGGACGCAGTATGCAGTGGTGGACCCTGCGGTGGAGGCGGCCCACGCCCGTCTGGTCGCCATGAGAACGGGTCGCTACATCTCCCAACAGAAGACCGAGATGGCCAAGCAACAGGCAGAGGTCAGAGCCATGACAAAGAGCCGTGGTATACCTACATCGGACGGCACTAAGACTGGTTAGTTACAGATCCATATAGGACCCCTTCGACAATGTTTAATTAGCAATGTCTTTAAAATGCATCCATGCTTCACATTTTTTATATGCACACTTTGAAGATTATCTTCAGTTATGGTATAGTCGAACCTGTCTTTAGCGACTGCCCAAGGGAAACACAAAAAGTGGTTTCTGTAGACAGGTGGTCTTTGTAGACAGGTTCCTTTAGTACATGTTTCAATGAAAAAACATTTTCAAGGGAAACTAAAAAGGTGGCCATTGTAGACAGGTGGTCACTAAAGCAGGTTTGACTGTGAGCTATAAAAGAAAACTGGGTATGGGCTCAATTGCGATTGTCTGTTAGGTTAGGTTAGTTACAAAGTAGTTTTGCTCTTTTCAGTCGATATATGTTCTGGAGTTCAAATAAAACTAGTAAATGCAGTTAAAAGATGTTAATTTACATTTGCCACACTCCACCCAGGTGAGGTAAATGGGCTCCTGGTAGGAAGAAATTGCTTCAATGCTTTAGCACCTTTTCGTGGTAGCTCGTCTAAAATCGGGTTAATGATGTGATTGCAGGGCCCTCGGGAAAACAGTAAAATACTGATAGGGCTACCCTGGGTAAATAAGACATATTATTATTATTATTATTATTATTATTATCATTATTATCATTAATGCTGAATGGACATCACTGTACCTCTAGTGAATCTGAACACGGTGACCAGTTCTAACACTTCAATTAATTTCACTGTCCCACTCTATTCATTTCCATGTTAGGTGTAAAACCTTTGAAGACAGCAGCAAGCCTCGCTACTTTAGCCAGCAGTCACCACTCACATGGCACCAAACACATGGATTACGCGGCAGTACCCGGCGGCATCTCACCACTTCCTCCACCCCTGGTAAGTTATCATGGATAATAGTTCTATGCATACAAGCAAGATCAAATATTTTTGTAGTGAAGTATTTCTCATTTAGCAAATTTTAATGGATGAGGTGTCATGCAAAGTTAAAGAAATCTCGAATATTACAAGGTGAAATAACTCTAGCTAGTCTGAAATACAGTGATAGTTCAAAATTATCATATTAACAAAATCAACAAAATATGAAAATGAATGTGCAATATAATTTTACATTACTTAGTATAACTACATTCAGAATTACTTTTGGGTGGTCCATTAGTTTTTGAAAATCAAATCTTCAGAAACAAAGTCATTTAATGGTTTCCTCTTTCTGATCTTTAGTTTAGAAATGAGCTTTGAGGGCAGTGGAAAGGATCTACAACATTAATTGCATGTTTTGCTTTCCCTTACTGCTTTCTTGGACACACTCAAAGCAAATCTTTTTAAATAGTCGAAATAGATTCCTAGATTTGATTTACCTTGCATAATTCTAACTGACCGCAATTTTGACCCATCATGCCCATTTTTTTTCTCTCTCAACCCAGATTGAATCCATGGAGCTATCACCGGGCGTGGTCGTGAAGGAGGGCAACCGGGTCAAGCGAGGCCCCAAGCCCCAGGCACGCTACCACGACTCCATCACCTCGGCCAAACTCCGCTCACTCCGCCCCGTCCACCAGTTAGACATGAGGGACGCCCAGCTGGCCGTGGCCGATATCATCAATGCAAAGGGCCCCCTGCTCCGCGCACTTCCAGTCAACGAACCCATCCCGCCCATAGCAACCCGTCCGACCCCGCCCCCTCCCAAGTCCTTACAAATGGCTTGATCGAAATGAACAATTATGGGACTGTGGTAGAATCAGATGACATAAGCATGTATTCCATTCATGACATGGGGAGAGTAAGTTTTCTTCATTGGGGTCGAACATTGCCAATTTGAATATTAAGGGAAAAGAGAGTTTGATGAAGTATTCTCAAGATTATAAGTAAATAACAGCATATGTTTATGAATATTATTCTCATCATTCAGAGATATAAGTTTTGTTTGAATTTATGCAAAGTTTTCGTAATATTCTGCAAAGATTTAAGCGTGACTGGATATGTCAGGGATCATCCTCATTATCATCATCATCATCACCATTATCATCGTCATCACCATCACCATCATCATCATCATCATCAACATCAACACCAACACAGCCTTCAATATTACAATGATATTTCCCAGTTTGATTAGAAAGTCAGGGAGGAGATCAAAAGTCCTTTTTTTTAAAATTAAAGGTACTATTTAACATCATCAAGCCATTGAATGCGATAGAAAGAAGAAGGGAAAATTGATATTTACAAGCAATATGACTATTTTCTAGTGATTTTAAGGGTACTACTGTTAATATTTTGCTTTGTACTTCAATCTTGCAGACACCTATTCATATATTGGTACAGTAAAACCTGTATATAAAGACCGCTCAACGGAAACATGAATAGTGGTCTTTATAGGCAGGTGAACAGTGGACTTTATGTACAGGTTTCAATGAGAAACCATATTAAAGGGAAAACGAAAAATGCTGTCTTCATAGACAGGTAGTTGCTAAAGCATGCTTGACTGAATAATTTTCTACAAATTTGATTTTGAGAATAATTACTTTGCATATGATAATGGAAATGGATTGATGACCAAAACATATGCTGGCTTTGTTTTCAAATGTATTCAAACAGTCATCAAGGCTAGAATTTTTTGCTCTTTTCTCATTCACAAGAGGTCAAGGTTCAAATGAACATGATTGTTGTGCAAAGCAGTTTGACCTCTATCTCATTCCTAAACAATACCATGGTTCCTATAGGACTATACATATAACACCATGACAAAGACTTTCAAAAATTTATCAAAAATTTACCAAAAGCCAATTTCCATAGTCTAGCGCATCATCTTCGCCTATGCCATGGTTTCCAAAAGCAATACAACAATTTTGATACTTTTTTTTTTATTTCTTGTAAGTCTTTGTGATTATGTTATTTGCAGTAATAATATATCTTCACCAAAACCTGGATATATATTATACAAATAATGAATGGTTATGAGTTCAATAGTGCGAATATTTTCATGAGTTGAAAGATTAACATTCTATTCAACGAGGCGTCAGCCGAGTTGAATAGAATTAATGTTAATCTTTCAACGAATGAAAATATTTGCACTATTGAACGAATGAAAAACATTCATTATTTGTTTTATACAACATCGAAGAAGATCTAATAGAACGTTAATCAACAAATTATGCTTTACTCCTTATTTAAAGATAAATTCAAGTTGGATTCAAGCCTTCTCGATTACATTCAGATTGCCTTCGCGTCAGATACACGCAGGGATACGCGCGCGCACGGCAGAGAGGTACGCAGTCTGCATATAACCAAAAATGCACGGCGCATATAACCAAAAATGCACGACCGTGCAATATACCATCTATTGAATATCATGTGACCAACAATCCTCCAATCAAATGACAGGGATCCACGTAGGTGTTGTATAAACTATTATATTGATGATATGAAATTTTGTATAAAGGCTAATATACCAGTTTATATGGATGTGCATATTTGTAAATATTATATGTGTGTATAAACTTTATCATTCCTTTGTATATGCACAACTAATCATATTTTTTCCAGGCAAATATGGCACTTATGTATATAGATTTGATAATTGTATAATGTATTCCTCATTCACTAGCATTGCTTGTGTGTGCAAGAGAGGCATTAAAAGATGTACATATATCACTAAATACGATCCGTAAAGATGTCTTCATTGTTCATTGGTTTGTGAAGCCAGGATGTAAGCGATATTATTTTGGGGCTCCTTTCTTAGAATGAAGGAAGTTTATAGGATGCTCCAAGTGTATATGATTTGCGCTCGCCCTTTAGCCCACTAAAGACCTGTTCATATATGAAGCGGTAAATCGTGGCAGTTTTTTGTAAGGTGTAAAATGAATGGCCCTGTCGTATTCACTGAGGTCTGTGTTATAGTACACAGAAATGTGAACTGTATTACACTTGTGTCGTCATAAAAATAAAAAATCGCTGCGGGTAACTGCGTCATATGTAAACAAGGCAAAGGCAGCAGTATCTTGTAGAATGCTCCAAAAATATAATTACTCTTGCCCTTTAGCCCACTAGGTAGGTAGCAGTATACCTGCCCAAATGCTTGCTCAAGAAGGAAAGATAGAAAGATAGAAGGATGGAAAATGTAGCAGTGGGAGGAGGGAGAGTAGCAAAGATTGATTCAAGAGAATGAATAGTGTGTGACACTGAGAGAGAGGGAAAGTTATAAATAATGAAAGATTAACAAACATGGAGAGAAAGAAGGGAGAGGGAGAGGAGAAAAGAGACAGAGAGAAAGAGAGAAATAGCAAGAGAGATTAAATGCCAGAGAGAAAGAAGAGAAAGCAAGATAAAAGGGGAAAGAGGAATAAAAAAGAGAGAAAAAAAGATGAGTAGATGAAGGAGAAAGAGAGACAGAAAAAGAGGGATGGACAAAGGGCAAGAGAGATATAAAAGAGAAAGGAAGAGAGAGAGAAGGGGGTGATGGAGAAAGAGCAAGAGAGATTAAAAGCTAGAGAGATAGAGAAGAGAAAGAAAGAGAAGGAAGGGGAGAGTGAGAAAAAAGAAGAAGAAACAATGAGGAGATTGAGAAAGAGAGAGAGAGAGAGAGAGAGAGAGAGAGAGAGAAGGGGGGGGGGGGGCAAGACTCTTTTTTCCAGCATCCCTTCAGCTTATTCTTCTTATCGAAGGCGTTTCAAAGAAAATGTGTTTTATGATTTGCAATTTCACCTGTCTACTAGGAATAACGAAATACTCTGGCGTCCTGTTTTTTCTCTGTTCTTTGTGAAACCAGTTCAGGTAATATGTATAATTGACATACAGCTTATCATTGGTTTAATTGGTGTAAAACATCGAGTTTACAACGTGACATAGTGGTCTGTGTGAAGGGCTAAGCCAGTGAGGTCAGAGGTTCGTATCTTCAAACATGAATTATGTTTCGTTTTAATGCAGGTATTGACCGTATTTAGTGTTCTCATTAAGTAAAATAGCTCAGATTATAACCCCTTCTTTCTCACCTCTTCAGCTTTTGCTCATTCCCCTTTTGGTGATGCAACCCCCCCCCCCCCCCCCACTTTGAAAAAAAAAGCATTTTCTCCATTTGAAGAATGTTCATTCACCCATGTGTGTAACTCATGCAGAAAAATATTTTTATAAGGTACTGTAACACTCCGACACATAAAGCATAACAGCCGAGTCCATTTGAATTGCATTGTAACAATTGCAGCAACAAAATAATTTATTTATAACTGATTTCGATGAAATTCTATAAAAAGTCGTTTCATATTAGGGTACAGTCATCGTTTTATCAAGTCAAATCATACTTTGCTTTGCAAAAACAAAATATCATATTTTTTTTACGAATACATACGCTACGAGCACAATATATAACTTACTATATATATAAAGATATCCCTCATAGATTTCAATTCGGTTAAGTTCAGCCTGTAAACTGCATACACACCAATGGCATAATAATTAATTAATATGTTCCCAGTCTTAGAAATTATTGCGATTGATTCAAATTGATCACAGCTTACAATCAGTCGCAAGTCTGTACCACAGAGATAATAGTTGGGAAGTTTGCGATTGATTGGAGGACTTGCGACCAATGTGGATCAATCGCAAATTTTTATAAGACAGGACCCTCTTTTCACGAAGATTTTAACAGGACTGCATACTTTCAGATATGCCTGATTCAATTCATGAACATAATTGTACATCCATTCTTTAGTGACATATTTTGGAATGATAATGAATAAGTTTATTGTTTAGACTGTCTTTTCAGGTCTCATTATGAATTCGAATCTTCAATAGACTTATAGTGATTCGTCATGACAGGGGAAAAAGAAATATTCTCAAGATATCGAGAAAATTGCTTTTAAACTACGCACCTCAACACGTTAATAGGCATGGACAATCAGATATCATTACACAAAATGTATTTTAGTACTGTTTCCATTACAAAACACGAAAAGCTTTCAAAATTCTTGTTATAATCACAAATGTAGATGAATTGTTGGTTATACATGTATCACACAAAACGAACACAAAAAACACTATTCGATTTCAAATTTTAAAAATGTAGTCAGATAACTCCTTTTCTGGGTAAAAACGTGAATATTATCTTGCATCTAAAAATGCATACCTTATATTTCATTATGAAACTTCACAGGGTTACAGTTATGATTACGCTGAAAATGCGTCGAAAACACGTACATGTATATATATATATTCAGATGTAAAACGCCTCTTTTTAAAGGAAAAGTTCTCAAGATTACCACCAAATAATGCAATAAACATGGAAGTGAGAACTGGAATATATTAGGCAATAATGTATATATAAATTACTAAAGATATATATTTTCTACTATACCTCGAAAATTCAAAACTATAGACAGGATTATCAATCTAATCGATGAAATAATAATGATGCTGACTTTTATGATAGATTTCCTTTAAAATCGCCTCACTTGTAAAAAAACAAATTTTTATACACCGCTATATATTTATTTCAAAAATACAAAATATAGCCATTGTACAAACGTTTTACGGATAAAATACACAATATACAAGTACAGTTGATGTAATAGACAATAAATTAAGTATACACAGCATTTCTTTACAACATGTCAAAGGCCATACGTTGGCTTTGATTTGGCGGTATTAATAAATTCTTCTCCTCTCACTTCAACAGAAAGTTTTCCGTTGCTTCTATCAAACATACATAATTCATATGATGTCTAAAAATGGGTAGAAGTTGTATTTTTTTTCTTCAAATAAACAAATCACTTTTGTTTCTTTAAAAAAAGAAAAAAAGGAAAGAAAAAAAGATATCTTTATAAAATATTATGTGCCTGATCCCATAATAACGGTGATATTACGCTCCAAACTGGTACCATAAAAATACCAAACCTTTCAAAGTGCAATAACAGTTCAAACTTTTTTGCATTTTCAGTCACTTTCACCTTCTGCAAAATAGGCAACTCAGAGCCGTTCGGCTCTTGTGTAAAATTAATGAAAGAGATATAAAGTGTGAGAGACAGAAGATGGTGAATATGAAAGGAATTATTCCCGGCTTGTTCTCCGCGTTTCGATCTATCATACCGTGCTTTCTTTTGATGTTGAAACGGTTGAATGGTTGGAGCCTTTCCTGAAGGGAGGGTCCTGGAGTCTGAACGAACCCGAGCTGGGATGCGAGTTGCCGAAGTTTGTTATAGGAAGGGTCTCACTGTCGACCGCCGTCTCTACGATCGGATACCGCTCGTTGGTAGGTAACTATTGGAGAGAAAAAACATGATAGAAAGAAAAGAAATTAGTAATCAATAATATTCATCATATATATTTTTGAAAAGTGAGGATGATACAAAGAAGAACAAGTAACAGAATGGTGAACATTATTGAGAAGAAACTAAACGAAAATTCATCGGAGAGGAGTGAAGAAGAGGAACCATTGGATAAACTATCAAAGATGAAAAATAACGACTCTATTTTGATGATGACGAAACATCAAAATAAATGGGTAGGAGAAGGAAAATGAAAAGTGCAAGAGTATTGATACACACTATGAATATGACGGACAAAGAAAGCGGACAAAATATACAGTTCCTCAGGTAGATAAAGGAACATCCCTTCACTGCTATTATGTAAAAATGTGTAGAACAGGTGTCACATGCATATTCACCTGTTCTACACATTTTTACATAATAGCAGTGAAGGGATGTTCCTTTGTCTACCTGAGGAACTGTATATTTTGTCCGCTTTCTTTGTCAGTCATGTTCATAGTGACAGGAAGAAGCTTAAGATTAATCAACAGGGAAAGAGTAGAAGAATTAGAAAACGAAATTAGTGGAGGACGAAACAAGTAGAGGAATATAAGAAGAGAAAAACAAAAGGATGAAGAAATTTTCCTTGCCGGTTGGCGTAATATTTTTTCGAGCCTAAATGGGGGCAACTTATCCTCTTCAGGACTACTTAACAACCCCCGAATAATTAATTACCTTTGGGGCAATACAACAAGGGTTACTGTATTTGGGGTTAGGTCTCCTGGTGCCGATGAGGGTGAGTGGTTCTGTGGCTTTCCGGTGGTGGTGGTGGGAGGGGGGGGGGGGGGAATTTGTCGAGGGCGATAGTCTAGGGGGCAGTAATCCTATAACAATTCATTGAAATAATAATATATGACTCTACCTACCCTAATGTATCTGTCTGCTGCTTTGTTTTGATTATCATCAGGTTGTTGCTGTTGTTGTTCTAAGGGGTACTGTATTTGGGGTTTGGTCTCCTGTGCGTATGAGGGTGAGGGTTCTGTGACTCTTTGGTAGAGGTGGTGAGGGGGGGGGGGGGGGGATTTGTCGAGGGCGATAGTCTAGGAGGCAGTAATCCTATAACAATTATTCATTTAACATAATAATATCTGACTCTACCTACCCTAATGTATCTGTCTGCTGCTTTGTTTTGATTGTCATCAGGTTGTTGTTGTTGTTGTTGTTGTTCTACGTCATCACTAGGTTGGAAGTTAGTTTGGATGAAAGCATCCGCCGCCTCCTCCTGTGTCTGCCTCCTCGTCTGCGACTCTTTTCTTCTGTTCAAGAAAGATATAAAGATGAAGAATATGAAAGGCAATGATAATAACCAAAGTCACATTTTGTGTAGCGCTTAACACTTCGTTACTAAGTGCTTTACATTGCAATTATTATTATCCCAGTTGCTAATCCGCTCCTTCGGGGGTATTCCCGCCAGGCGCCATTTTACAAGTGCAGCACTTGCCAATCCATCCACAGTAACGTCCGCATCCTACTGGGTACCCATTCAAAACCAGGATGGAGAGTGGCAATTCAGAATTAATGCCTTACTAAAGTGCATTTTGATCTCTCTGTGCAGGGAGTCTTTATCGTTTTCCTAAGTTTAACCCCGCATGAGTATATAAAATGAAATTTATGATAGAGATTATTATAGAGATATAACACAGTACATTTGTTAACATACATTTTCCTTAGTAATCAATATAATCACGTAATTTTATCTTGTAATTAGTAAAGCTGAAAAGCGAAAAAGAAATGAATACAAGTTGGTTGTGATTTGACCAATGAATGAATAATGAAAACGAAATAATAAAAATGGGTTTGCACTTACTTCCGTACCACGTATACAATTGCCCCGATCAGAGTTAAGAGAATCACTATTCCAAATATTGTTCCAATGATGAAAACTTCCCAATAATCTCCAAAAAGTCGTTCTATGGACACACAAAGAATAATGAAATAAAACAGAAAATGAAAATGAGGCAATGAGAATATTTGAATAGTTAAATGTTGGATAAATGTTTATTTCATGCAAGCTGCAATTAAGAAAAGAGCAAAATACTCTTGATCTATTTTGAATGATCAAAAATCCTTTTGAAATATCAAAAAAATAGGCGCCATCTCTCAGGCGTCGCTAGTTTAACAGAATTATCAAAAATATTGTCAATATTAATATTCATTCCCAACCTCAGCAGTTTTAAATTTCAATTTGATTTCGAGGTGATTTGTTTTTATATTTAAACGATTTTAACAGGTATTCGAAATTAAAACTTTTAAAAAAAAATTCATTCAAAAGAAACTTTGTTAAAAGTTTATAGAAACTGGGATGTAAACTACATATCAGCACTGTGGGTTCATCCGTTCATGCAAATAAAAAACCGTCGTAAAAGCATGCAATGTAACTCAAAGAGGTATGATATGTAAAAAGAAAATAATCTTTAAATCAGTCTTACCTTTACTATCTGTTTCAAGAACTCTATATTGACATCGTTCCCCTCTGTAACCGTTAACACACCTGTAATTTCCGGAGAGAAAGGGAAAAGGATACGGAAATCGTTAGAAAATAGGTTCAAATAATGCAGGTTAATTGTTTTGCCACGTTTCCTTTCTAAAAAATTAAATACGGAATCGTTGTTTGAAGTTTATTACATGAACAATATGTATTAATGCAAACTTCCATCGCTCTTTTATGACTTTTTTTCCCCTCTGAAGGTAGCAAAAGGTATCAGTACATTGGGAGACTTTTCAAGATAATGTTTGCCCTGTAGAATCACTGTGTTTACAGTGGAATTAATATTTTCACAGTGTTTACGCATTATGTCCACAGTTTTTTCACACTATGTCCACAGTTTTTCACACAATGTCCACAATCTTTTCACACTATGTCCACAGTTTTTTCACAGTTTATGTTTTCCACAGTTTGATACAGTGTGTTCAAATATTGAACACGTGTGCATATTATGAATACTACTTAGATAAAGCGAATATTGTGTGTGTGGGTATGTGTGGTGTGGTGAGAGAGAAAGAGGGATAAAATAAAGAAAGACAAAAATAGAGAGGAAAAGAAGAGAGAGGTGGGGGGGGGGGGGGGGGAGAGAGAGAGAGAGGGATTACTTACTCGCATGACGGTTGGCTGATACCCGAAACCCACTGGCACATTCCCTTATTGAAGCAGTAAGATTCGTATCCGGTCGGACATGGCTCGAAGTGTGATTCGGAAGTTTTCGGAATGTAATCGGTATTCGTCCTGCCGGCATCGTCTGCAGAAGGGAGTAAAGAGAAAAGGGGAACAAAATAGAGACATTTGATAATAATAATGTCAACGAACTAATTTTGTTCAAATTCACAATTTCATGGACAAGACTGAAGTATTTTAAATTCACTCATTCAAATTTCCTTAGAAAATAGTATGGTTTAAAGATGGATCGTTGAAGTACATGTATATTGGAAATATTAAAAGAACCCCCCAAATCACATCTTTGGTAATATGTTAAACATTGAGAAGTGCCTTATGACTAATGATATGTCTTGGTTTTTAATAAATCGCTGATTACGAAGGCGGTATTACAATTGGGAGAATTTAATACACGCTGTTGTAGATCATTCCGTACAAAAACAAGTCGAGAAGGAAACCTTCAATACATTCCATTGCACACATTTTCCTTTAACTGATTGTTATTTCCGAATCAAATCATCTTCTCAGTCTGTCTGTCCCGTGTCTTATCTCATCATTTATACTTCCCAAGCATTGTTCTTGCTGTGGATGTTATATTTGGTACAGAGGGTTTTATTGCGGCTCATAACCAACCCCTCAACAATAAACTCCAAGAAAAGAAAGGGGGCACACCAGGAATCTAACGCAACAATCATCGGCAGAGCTGGACACCAGCCGCCTAATAGACACCATATAGGGGTGCAAAAACCACTACCAATAAAGGGTCAAATTCAACACCCGGTGTGTCAAAATTCGGTCGCAATTAACCTGTAATTGGGGTTAGGAGCGTCACATCTGTGCGGTACACCATTCTTAAGCTCCTAAATTTATTTATTATTTATTATTATAGAACTTCAGGATTCACATTATATAAACAAATTTTATAACTACATTATATTTTTTTTTCTTTGTTCAATGATATACATTTACTTCTCGAAAAGTTGATGAATTGTTGAAAATGTTATTGTCGTTGTAATAATCATTTCTTTATTTGAAAGAAAGGCAAGATGTAATTTAACACAATGTTATGGAATAAAAACCAGGACCTAGAATGTATTCTGATTCATTTATATACTTCATATACTGGACCATTAGTCAGTGAATTTTTCAAATGTTTTTTGTTATCATATATTCGAGACAAATAACAAATATGACTCGTTTCTGTTTTATTTTTGTGTCATTTCCGACCAAAAGGTTGTAAAAACCTCAATGAACCTGGAGACCAACTTTGCCATCAATACTTCACAATCAATACTTCACAATGTTGTGTTCATGTCACTGACTGGTTGATAATATATATGTAGGAGTATTCTTTCGACTTTACGCGCAATTAATGGCACCCCGCCTCGTTTTAATGCACTAGTTCAGATTACCACCCCGCCTCTTTTTAATGAAAAAGGGTTCGGTTTTTTAAGTGAGTTTGGCAACTGGAAGATTGACATATTCTATCAATGGACTCAATTTCAACGGTTCATGGTCAGCGTCTGTCTAGCACAACCTGGTACATAAACACTAATTTAAGTAAATATATATATCTCTATAAAATATAAATAAACAAGGCGTTTCCTTAAAGAAACCATGTGGCGATGACTTGGCCACGCATAAGAAGGTAGAGTGCCAACATGTTTATATTTACTATTCACTTGTACTATATCTTGTATATTCTATATCTATGTATATTCCTTACTATGTGGTCAGCGACACTTTACACTTTGAGGAGCTTGCCATTTGTACCGCGGGATAACCAAAAATATTCACTTCCTATACCAGGCCTTAAGTAGTAAACATTTCAGGAAGTATATTACTAAATTTGCTGATTACCCAGTTTCAATTCGAAGTCAATATTTGATTACAAAACAATCATGTTTATATTTGTCGATATCATTATTTACTTAATGTTAATAATCACTATATAGGGTTGACCTGTGGTATATTACCATCATGCAAATTTACAATTGCCAGTGATTACAGTATGAGCTAAGCTATGGGGAAGCTCATTCAGATAATACTGGAGACATATTTCCATAAAGGTTTGGTGGAATTTCAACCTTTTGTACCACCACTGTCGCATATTTTGAATTCCTTGCAACCACGGGTCATTGTGCCCTAAGTCGGTTATGGGATATTAATATCCTACATGCTTCTGATAGTATGCAAATAATGATAGCCGGGTGAGCGTCTGGAAAAACAAACAAAAAAGCGAAAATCCCAAACATACCAAAGGTCGCCCACTCGCAAGCATACCAGAAATATTATATGAGGAGTGGGGGAATTACACGGTTAATTAAAGAAACTTGTCGTCATGTTATACATTGGTGTGTTGGTTGCGGCGAGACAGTAATTATAATGGTATAAGAAGTGGTATCAAGATGTTAAATGGATGTGGTTGTGGGTGTGGTGCCAGTGAGGACTTGATGATGAGAGGGGGTGTGAAAGACTGAGGAGAGAACGGAACTGGTATCGTTTCATTGTGTCAAGAATGCATGCATGAATTACGAAGTTCCTTTAATTCAAGTACAGAAGATTAAACCATGATAACTATTTTGGTTCCATACACAAGAAATGATTTATAAGGACTTTTGTAAGAGTATGACAATCACGGGGGAAGAATGTTATAGGAATGAAATTGAATAATGGGACACAAGAATAAAATACCCTTTTTTGCAAAACTACCATAGTGAGGCAGAAAAATGAATAAAAACGCATGTATTGTATTTCACAAAGTTAGATTTCTGTATAGCATCGAAACTTACGTTATTGCCCGTGTCATGCATGATGACATATCCAAGCAGGTTAAGATCTTAGTTCATAATATTCCCATGCCAATTTTTACAAATCAGATGTTTCTCCTTTCGGGCCTGATATCTCAGTCTAGTTAACGATTTTGGGGGTATTAATGTCCCTTTCATGTACGTTTGTATTATGTACCCTGTGTCTCAAAATTATGTCATCACGACTACAGTAGATAAACGTACACATGGGAACCGAGGACCTATGTTTGAACTAAGCAAACATTGTCAAAGACACACCTCGACCTGATATCATATGTTCACACGTACGTGTGTAACATGAGGTCCAATTAAAAAGAAAGATGTACATAATCATCACGTTAAAACTGAGGACATGTGACGATATGAAGGAATTATCATTACGTTAGTTTAGCGCCAAAAGGGCGCTGAAGAATCGGAGGTACCACCCTTCTAGTTCTCAGCAGAAGATTATACAGTTTGGAACCATTTATACAACGCTATAATAGTCTGCTTAGAAATAAGACATTTTAATTTCTTTTGCAACAAAGCTATATACCTCAGTGAACTAGTTCTATGGTTTGATGGCCCGAATGACCTTGTGACGTCACGACCGGAAAGTCACAGATGAGGAGCGGAACTATATTCCCGATACCACAACAAACGGTACAACTAAATAAACACCAATAACTAGGTGAGAAGAGGAGAAAAAGGGATTTTTGTTTCATCTTTGTATTTGTTTTGGTATTTCCGGTCACTTTTGAACCATCTAACAAAAGACAAAGTTGACTTTTAAGTTCAGCTAAACCGATTCTGAAAGAGATTTTGTTCCATTTCCTTTCTCAGCGATCAGGACTGATAATCTGACATTATGAGAATCTACACTGAAGAATTATTTTACACGGTTTTGCAGGCATGGGGTGCCAAGCGATCAGTGGTTTTTTGAGGAAATTGTTCAGCTTTGTAGGTTTTCTTTTGTTGAAATTACCACCCATTTTGCTCTGTACAATCAATGGAAACCGCAATTTTTTGTCAAAGAAAATGACGGGTGCATATTGAACGCATACATTGTCGGACAGCTGTATTATGAATGAAAAAACTGCGGCATCCTCGAATCAAAATGGTACATGCAAAAACAATTTCCATCGTAATATAATTACGTTAATTAATGTATACATGGATATATATATGATAGTGCGAGCTTACGCTTCCAGAATGAATTTATCTTTTAATTTGTTTCCTACTTCCCATTATCGGAAAGAGAGGCTCTGCTAGTTTTCATTCATCAAAATATTGATTATGATGATCATCTAATGAACCATTCAGTTCAACGGGCGAATTAATTAATTTCATTTTTACCCCTCATCTGAAAGAGCTTAAAATAGATTGTTGGTGGACTCCTCTGTGTAAGGTAGTTGCCAGGGAAACGCGAAAACATGAGTGCCTGTACTTAGCAGAAGCGTCCACGGACAACCGGAAACGGAGTTTTAGTGATTAAATGTACAGGAGTAAACCTGAACTCTTTTAAGAGTCATATTAGAAATGGCTTCATTTGGAGGGAAAATCCTTCTTTTTAGGAATCAGTAACTATTAGGAATGGCTCCGTTTTGGAATGAAAGTCCACTCTTAACAGTCATGCTACTTGCGAGTCATGTTAGCAGCTCTTCATTTGGAATGAAAAGCCATCTTTTTAGGAGCCATATAATCAGGGATTTCTTCATTTTTAAGTGGAAATCCACGCTCCAAACAGACTGAATCCACCATCAAAAGAGTGATTCAAACCTCCACTTTGGAGTGGATTTCGTTATAATTTGGAATGGATTCAACGCCACAACAAAGTGATGTCTAATATTTCTAAAATAAAAGAGCGACTTTCGACACCCCCCCTTTAAGACAGTATGATGAGTGAAACCATAGCGTGGTTATAGATGAGCGGTCCGCAAACGGAAGTCAACTAACATAAATGTGTATTACTATCAGCTAATTGCATTCTACTCCCCATCCAACCGCAGCAGACCACAAATTAAAAAGTAAGGACAGTCTCTCACACTAATGATGTCATTTTATAATGGGCCGATGTGATGACGTATTGCTAAATATCCTTCACTATATGTTCCGACCAATATTCTTTATTATACCGCGCAAATCCACATTTTTACCATAATAAATCCAAATATGGTTTATCCGAACTGCATGTCTAAAACCGTAAAACCCAAATATTTTGTGGGAAAAACATCTTTCATGTGGTAATGGTATTTGTTTTGAATTATATGCGTGGGTTACGTTATTAAAACAGACA